TTACTAACTTGTTGACCAAACGATTTAGACTTTCATTTCTATCGGAAATAACTAGTTTTGAGTTACTACCCCCCCACCCTTACCAAATTATATTAAGCTAACCTCGTAACTCATCATACCCTAACAGTCCTAACCTAACATATGACCTGTATTTTCTTATGCGATAAAAAAAATGTTTTGCGACAGAAATTCTGTAGAGATAATGTGTCCTATTAATCCCATAGTTAGAATCTTAAGGTTCCCCAGATGACCAAAACCAAAATAATACCAATATTGTTTGGAAAGTTTATACTATGAAATTTGTTGTATGGGCAGCCAATATAAATTGAATTAGTTTATGTGCTTAGTAATATTTATATATTCAAAATAGTATAACTGTGTTGCACAGTAATGCACAATTATCTAATAATATTTATTTACAGAGCCGATCAGTCGAGAAGGTTGGACAACTACAGCTGGCTGTCTCTCGCTGGGAAGTTCACCCCAACCAGTGACATCACAACCAATCACAGAGCTTTTTGCAGTCACGTGACTTTTTAGCAACTTTAACTCTTATTTTTGACACTTTTTGGCCCAATTTGTTTAAAAATATCATTACCATAGTGAATTTAAAAATTTTCTTTACCCATTGACCTGCCATTTTACAAAAAAATTCCGACTGTCAACTCGTCCATTATCCCTTTCAGTTTTATATAAACAACTTTATCAAAATAAACTAAATGTGGATTCTTACTTTCACTTTTTTTATATCAGTTTATGATAAATATCCAATTTTCGTATACTATTTACTGTATTGCGAAAAGAATACATAGAAATTCTAAAATGGGTGTATCTTTTTCTTCTCAGCACCACGAGAACTCTCACTTTTATGCTTGCCAGCCATTTTAAAAGGAATTACAAACGAAAATTTTGTCAGTACACAGCGCGATCACTAACGTCGGGACTAGAAAATACGTAATTTGCAAAATATTTTATACGACCACGGCGGTCGTATGTTCGGGTTGTCGTAGGTCGATGAGTACCTGTATACACACACACACACACACACACACAGAGGTATACCCCGAAAAACTGACAATCCAATAACCACTGATTTACATAACCAACGATTACATATAGGGGCAATACCCCACAAGTTTCGTTGATACCCCGGATCTGACGACCAGGAGAGGAGGGGCAGACCTGTTTTGAATTTGGCAGGCGGTAGTGTGGTGCAAATCTTGCCATGAGAGAGCTCTGCACACTGTCTCTGACTCATTCCCACCTCTGTGCTCTTGTTTACACTTACCATGTGTCTGACTTCGTGTGTTATGCAATCATGCCTAAATACCTCGGTGATAGTTCCTGTTGTGCTCTCCCTCTTCGGGGCAGCTTGATGTGATGTGATAAGACATAATAAAAGTGGTGATGGATCAGCTAAGATTAATAGAGGCTTAAACTTGCCACCCCAGACCATGTCTACCTTCCTCAATACAGGTAAATAAGTCTCAATTTATGTTTTACATTGCTTATTTATGGCTTATTATGCTTGCTTTGTATGTCTGCTTTATTTTCTTTCATAACCAACATATATCAAAGGTAGGTGGGAGGTTTGGGGGGGTGGCCGATCTCTAACCCCCGGAATTTGTTATATTCTTATTTGATTAATTACTTCAGTAACTGTTGATGCACCAACCAACGACTTTTCCCAGTCCCTATATGCATCTGTACTGGACGTCTTGTTGAGGTAACTTTTCCTTTGTACGGTAATCCTGAATCATATATTTTGCTCTTGTAATTCAAGCTGTCTGCACTATTCTGTACTGTACTCAACACAGCCTTCATTTTGATCCTTCATTAATCAAACAATATTACATCACCTGAAACAACTATCACATCCCTTCAGTCTCCAAATACCTGTACTCCAGGTTGACAACCCCTTATCCGAAATTCCGAAAACCAAAAGTTTTTTTAGTGGATCAAAAAATTTCTTTTCTTTTAAATACAGGGATCAGCCCACCCGGGCACATGTCACTGACCTACGTACATCAGGGCCTCGGGGCGAAAATGTAATAATAGTAATAATAATAATAATAATAATAATAATAATAATAATAATAATAATAATAATAATAATAATACAGTCAACCCTCGCTTTACGCGGTCCCACATTCCGCGTTTCCACGTTAACGCGGTGCCCTGCCAGAACCTAACGTGCTCACATTACGCGGTGCGTGAACCCCATTACGCGGAGAGTGTCCGGCGCGACGCTATTTTTAGATTCGCCCCACCCGCCTGCCTGCCTGTGCTCTCGCCTCTCCCTCCTCCCTCCGCCTGGGCAAGCCGCGCGGTAAGGTTGCGCAGTGTGTGTCTTTGTTGCATTATCACTGACGTCATATGACGTATCGGACTGTGATTGGCCATGCATCCCTACCCCCCTCTGCTGCTAGCTGTAATTGGCTTAAAAGTATTATGACGTGTCCACCCGGGGGAGGGAGGGAGGGAGGAAAGGCGATCCTTGACCAGTTTCATCCCTCCACGCCAGACCGTGTAAACGTGTATCCATTGTTCTGTAAAATGGCTTCCGCCGGACCACCGCCCCCAGAGAGAAACCTTTCCTTACCTGGACCCAGCGGCACTAAGCCAAAGAAGACATGACGTTCCTTAAGCTATGAGGTGAAGTATACCATCAACCAAGAGTTGGAGAAAGGAACAAGGCAGGTTGATTTGGCGCGCCAGCATGGTGTGAATGAATCTACGATTCGAACAATAAAGAAGGATGCAGCCAAGATAAAGGAGCACATGAAGATTACAAAGTCTACAGGTGCTTCTATGATCAAGTATTTTCACAGCCAGGTGCTTCTCAAGACAGAAAATTACTTGTGAGGTACTTGGTGCGTCAAGCGCGACGGAACATGGCGGTCGACACGCGCTCTGTTAAGGAGTACGCACGTGAACTGTACATTGCAGTGGCACGAAAGATGGGAATTACAGAGCCCAAACCCTTTAATGCTTCCTCTGGGTGGTTACAGAGGTTAAAGATCCGGAACAAGATCACCAATATAAACATTGGTGGTGAAGAAGCGAGTGCTGACAGTGCTGCGGCTAGGGAATTTCCTCCGTTTTTACGTGAGATTATGGAGGAAGGACAGTACAGTGACGACCAGGTGTTTAACATGGACGAATCTGGTCTTTTCTGGAAAAAGCTACCTTCCAAGTCCTTCGTTGTAAAGAATGCCAGCAAGATTCGGGGCCGGAAGATGCAGAAGGAACGCATCACCGTCCTGTTTACCACCAATGCCTCCGGTACCTGTAAGCTCAAGTTATCGGTGATCCACACAGCACGCAAGCCGCACGCCTACAAATGTCCACTAGCTGACCGCACGTAAGGCGTGGATGTTCTCTACACTGTCCCTCTCCTGGTTTGATGACTGTTTTGTTCCCGATGTAAAGAAATTCTGTGAGCGACAGAATGTGCCATTCAAGATTTTGTTGCTGCTGGACAACGCACCAGGACACTCGCCCCTACTGTTAGATCGTCACCCCAACGTGAAAGTGGTCTTCCTTCCTCCCAACACTATGTCTATATTACAGCCCATGGACCAAGAGTTAATCTGTAATGTAAAAGCTGCATTCTCTACGAAAAAATTCAAACTCCTGAACGACTACACCAACACCAGGGAAGAGTTGCGTAACCTGAGTGACACCACCACCGATAGCAAGAGCGAAGAAGATGAGGATCAACAGTTGGCACAGCAAAAAATACTGTTCAAACAATTCTGGAGAGTATTTAACATCAAGAAAGCTGTGGACTTCTTGGTGGAGTCATGGGATCAGCTGTCTATTGCTACAATTCGTCACGCATGGAGACATGTGTTGCATGGAATACCAGGTGAGAGGAGGAGTCAATCTGTGACTGGTGAGGTTCAGAATGTTGCAGTAGCAGTGGACCTTGCCAGAGAAGCTGCGCAGACTGTTACAGTTCCAGGCTTCTCCGAGACCACCAACGACGACATCCTGGAGGTGATAATGGAACCTGATGTGACTACCGAGGAGATGGTACATGATGATGACGACGTCAGTGAAGAGGCAGGTGGTGCGTCATCCCAAGAAGAACAACACTTATCCCATAGTAATGTTAGGGGTGCCATCGAGTGTATCGAGAAAGCCAAGCTCCTCCTTTCCGACGACCCTGACGCAAACAGGTATGAAATCTTCACTACCCAGCTGTTGCAGACTATGGAGCCCTACATCACGGTGTATCACGACAACATAAACACCAGCCGTCAAAAAAGCATAACCGAGTTCTTCGCCCGCAACCCACCACAGCCAGCCCAAGCCAGTGATAGTGACAGTGAAGATGACTTTGAGGGATTTGTCAGGGAAGCCCTGACAACTGTAAGTGACAGTGATGGTGATGCACCTAGTAATGGTGACTCACCTGAGGGCCAGTAGCCTGCCCTCTGCCTCGGAACCAGCCTCCATCCCCGTACGCCGACCCATCTCTTCTACTAACGTAAGTGTTCCACCTAACTTTTAGTTTTCCTAACCTAACCTTTATTTTTCCAATGTTAACCTTTATTTTTCCTAACCTAACCTCTTCTATATTACTTGTTTTTTCATACCATCATAAAGTTAAGATAAAATTTTTACTACAACATAGTTGTGTCGTCAAAAAGTGGAGTTTGGGGGTTGGCCCGGACTCTATTTCAATTAATCCCATATGTTATGTTATTCACTTTACACGTTCCTCACTTTCCGCGGGACCCTGCGGGTTACATTAACCGCGTAAAGTGAGGGTTGACTGTAATAATAATAATAATAATAATAATAATAATAATAATAATAATAATAATAATAATTCATAGTAAATAAAATTTATAATAAAAAATACACAAATAAAATAATAATGATAATAATAAAAAATAAATAATAATAAAGAAATACAAGAATGAAAAAAAGATAAAAAATGAGAAACACGACCTAGACCTATGAATTATTATTATTATTACATTTTCGTCTCCCAGGCCCCAATGTGGGTCGGTGACTTGTAACCATTCTGAAATCCGAAAAATTCCGAAATCCTTAACACCTGGCACCAAGGATTTTGGATAAGGGATTCTCAAACTGTAGCAAAGTCGAATGGTCATCAACTTTACAGTACAGTAATGCCATCTTTCATGCTTGTGTGGGTCAGCTGTGATTACCTGATGGCAGATCTCCAGGCTACATGACCTCTTGCAATCTCTCTCATCAGGTACCTGGCTTTTAATGCTGTAAGCCTCATGGCTACTTCATACAGCCTGATAGGAGGTAACTAGTCACATGACATCAATAGCTCACTTCTCTTCTGTCTGTTTGCTTTGTTTCACAGAGATATTGTTTCCACAATATCGGGAATTTTGGTCGTATGGAGGAGCCTTCTATACGTGCATATTTAATTTCTTGTTCTGTCCACCGTAGAAAACCATCACAAAGCTTCTAAAATAAAAAATGAAAATATAAAAAACAAATAAATAAAAAGGTCAAAATATAACCAAATGGAAACTTAAAGGTTTTAAATAATTTGAAAATTTTGAATATCCATGGATGCTGTTCAATTTACAGTATATTTTGACATTACAATTTCAAAATACTATATGGTAAGCCGATGTTATGATTAGCATTTGGGTTTAAAATCTTATTTTATAGACAGTAGCAAGTATTGATGATTAGACTTAAGAGTTAAGAAGAAGAGATAAGAGATGATTTCCTTCAATTTAAGTATTTTATACATATGAAAACAACAAACTAAATAATAATACTTACGCTCCAGAAGTGTATATAATCATCTGAAAGTTTCAACCATCTCTGAATCTCTCTTAAACGTTTATGAGTTGCATTAATACGCTCTTGCAAAGACCAGCCAGATTTCTTCTTTGCAGTTGTGAAACAGTAAACTGCTTTTTCACGTAATGCCCTGAGGAGAATATACCAGACTGATTTGACTTTTGCAAGTCCTATGGTATCCTCATTCTCTGTGAGGAAATATAATACTTCACCCTCATCATCAAAGTATTGCCGAATCTGTAAGAAGGAAAAAAAACTCTTTCACACCACAAAAATAAAAGATTAATCTCAAAATTCCATATTTAGGTAAGCCCATAACTAGGTAACCAACAAAATGTACTCACTATGCCATTGGTCAAGGTTAGTGCTTCTCAACAGGGTAAATGAGACCAAAATAATCAGGGAGAATGAGAACAGTGGGATAAAATCAAATGGAGTTAATTTGGTAATATGAAGTTAATTAGCAGAATATTCTTGAGACAATTGTGGTTAAGTAATTAATTACCTAAAGCAATCCTAGACCTTGAATTGAAGACCTAACATCACATGGGTGGTAAACACAGAATGTAAATACTATACAGATGACACCTTACTAATACCTAAACCAACACAAGTGGATTGTTGCATATTTTTACCATAAATATAGATAATTCGGAATGCCATAACTTCGTGATATTCAAGTTACATTAAGTGTGTTGTTTACTAATTACAGGCTGTACCTCTTGGGACCTGACCATGGTTGGTCTGATATATTTTTGGGGGCACATCCTGTATGTAGGATTGCGTATGAATGTAACGGAGTTAAAAAATAAGTGAAGAAAGTTATGTTTATATCCCCAGACTCCTGAAAAACTTACCCCAACACCCAGAAACATTTTGGGGATGTGGGCCAGTGTCTGTCTGTGTAAGATACGTAGTTCAGAATCTCGGAAACTTTTCCCAGTACAGTACGGGTAACCAGAAAAAATTCCGAGGATAAGGGATTTTTCCTGGTTTGAGAAAGTTGTCTGGATACCTGGAAATCTCTCATCCATGAAGTGCTCTGCACTAATTGTTCTGGCTAATGGGAATATCACTGTATAATGGCAATTGCTGGCAGTTTGCAGAGATTACTTCATTGTTACTGTTATCTCTACTTTTCATCATCTTAAATCTAGGTAAACTAAATTTTAACTTATTACTGAACTGTGTTATATTATTTTCATTTGTTTATTTGATTCTTTTGTATTATAATAATAATTATTATGCATACCACTATTTAGTTTAACATCTACTGAAGGTAATTCATTCAAAGGTTAGGTCTATGGAGACTGAAAAGGTATAAATGCAGTCAACTACTGGAGATTATCATATGTCTATACCGTATACAGTAGGGTGGGGATATATCGTGATTTTTTATAAAAAAAATTTTATATCGCGACTACCAAAATTATTTCGCGAGGGAAATCGGGCAGGAAATACTACAAATGTACTGCCATGGCAAACAAATGCATTATTTGCTCATCAGAGGCACCACCGTGGCTGCTCACCTGCGCATTCACGGTCGCCCACTCAGTCTTTCTGAGTGAGTGACGAGAAAGCAGCCGACTCTGCTGCAGATTACGACTTCTAAGGTGAATGTAAATGGGTTGCTAGTGACGTGAAAAGTGAAGTGAAGATAATGGAAAGCTTAATGGAAAATATTTAATACTGTAAATAATATTTTTGGTGTTCGTTTCTGTAGGTGTGGGATTGTTAAGTGAGTGTGGCAGTGTGGCGTCTACTGCCGAGTCTGGTGTTCCCAGGATGGTGCGTTAGCTGGTGAGTCTTGTGTTCCTTGATATTGATATTGAAATAGCTTGTTGCTCCCGAGTCTAGTGTTCATTGGTGTTTTGGTTAGTGACTAAACTTGACTCGTTAAGTCAAGTTTACTCACCCTATTTTCCCCATTGATTACATGTAATTATATACCTGTATCGCGATTTAGTATACAGCGAACATCGTTGGACCCTGCTGTAATAGCAAATCAGTCCTACAGCCACATATGAATGTCTACAGCACCAAAAAAACTGAGCGTACTAATGAAAGGAGCTTGCTTAAACATGCACGCAAGAAATATCTACATTTCATATGGAAAAGCTAATATCATACCATATACAGCTGCTCCCCGACTTACGACGGGGTTAGGGACCCAAATCCAGGTCAAGTCGAAAATGCTTAAATAATACATAGAAAATCTAAAATGCATGTCTCTTTTTCTTCTCAGCACCACAAAACTCTCACTTTTAAGCTTGTCAGCCATTTTAAAGTGAATTACAAACGAAAATTTTGTCAGTACACAGCGCAATGACTGACGTTGGGATTCGAAAATACGTAATTTGACAAAATTTTGGTACGACTGAGGCGGTCGTATGTCCAGGCGGTCGTAAGTCGGGGAGTAACTGTATAATCTTTTATATCCGACACAGCTAATACTGATTTAATTTAATAAGGTATGTGAACCCAAAATTTCCCTTATTCATAATTAGAAAAAAATTAATTTAAGGGAGGGGTATTATCTACTTGCCCTTGTACTGTATCTGCCACTGATCACTTTTAACTTCAACTTGCTTTATCACATAATATTACCATATCTTTGTGGGTCAACACTTCATCTCTAGGTATGATTTTGTAAGTGTTAGACTGAAATCCAAGAACAGCTGCTAAGTCCAGGGCATGGTGAGGAGGCATAGCAGTGAGGCTTCTCACTTCACCATCATAAGATGCAGTGGATGTAAACGAGATAACATTAAGTTGAGGTTCTGAAAGATGGCTGATGTTTACTAGGTGCTGGTGTTCTGGCTGAAGAATTTCACAGAATGCAGTACTCTTAGTGTGGTGAAGAAGACTGAACACAAGATGTTGCTTCTTCTTCTCCAAATCATTCAGGACACTACAGACTGCTCTGGCTATAATCTGCAAATAAAATAATTTATGCCATCAAAAATTATTCAGCAAACAACAAAATATAGCCCCACACTGCCTCCTAGCCACCCTTCCACTATGAGGGAAAGTATGTAGATGATACAGTACTTGGTTTGTCTGTGCATTGTGAGGTACACCAACCCAGGCACCTACTCTCACCATCATGAAGTTGTGCTATCTTTCTGCTTGCTATTTACACTCTCCCTCTCTCTCTCTCAAAATACAACAAGATGAGTTACTGCCCCACACTCCTGGACTAGGAGGGGGAAGGATACATCAAACCAAGAGACATTAAAAGAAAAAAAGGATGAAATGATGAAGTCAACGCCATCCTAGCACTGACCTTAGCCACGCCATATCTGCTTCCCTCATATTTCTCTATGTCCATGCAGTCTCTAATCAACATATGAACATTCTTGCTTCCAACAAATAAATAAAACCGTCCATCAATATACCTGGAATATAGATACATAATAACATTGAAGTTAATCTGAGGAGAAATTTACAAAATGCATACAGTATTTAACACAAATTTTTCATCACAAACATACGTATAGTATTTGCCTTTTTCCAGATTTTAGAAAGTAGAATGACTTTATTCTCACCAGTAAGCAAACATCGCAGCACTTTAGTGGTGATGACTTATGGAGCATTTGAAACATTAGATCAGCAATTTTGAAAGCTAGTTTAGCCAGAATAAAAAATGAAGTAGCTGTGAAATGCTGTCTGCACCAGCAAAAAATATGGGAAGGACAAGCAATACCTCAATATTCATACAGTATAAAAATGGGAATTTCAGACAAAATAACCAACATATACTAAGCCTCAATGAGCATGATATGCATACAACTGGCATTAAATAAATCTGAAGGGTAGCATAACCCAGGAAATATAACAACTAATATCTTCAAAGGTCCATAACCCTGGAAATATAACACCTAAAATCTTCGAAGGTCCATTTGATTTACATTTTCCTATACAACATTTCTCATAAATTTAAAAAGAATCCGACCAATGAAACTAAATTGAATGCACAGAAATAAAAAAGTTAACATACAACAGGTATTGCCATATTTAACCTAAAGTCTGCATACACACAAAAGATGAGAATGGGAAAACAACAAATGAATGAGAAATGGATAAAAGCAATTATTGAAAGAATAATAAGGAAAATGAGAATTGGTGGCAAACCACCTGCTGAATGGGACAGGAACAGCCTAGAAGCAGCAGAGCCAGTCCAGGATCCAGGCCTAAGGATGGGCGAAGAAAGTGATTGACCCCCCCAAAAAATGGAAAAACTGCTGGTAGCTCGCTCAGGAAATTGCAAAAAAATTTTGAAAGCCTAACACAATGTTGGGGTGGTTATGACTCATTTGGACAGATAGGAGTGTGGTAGCAAAGGAAACATTGGCAGACACTGAACATAAGAACGCAAGAATGGAGGAAACTGCAGTGGGCCTATTGGCCTATACTGGGTAGTCCCATTTACACCCAACCCCTATTGCTCATACATCCATCCAACCTATGTTTGAAGCTATCCAGCGTATTCGACTTAATGGTGATATTTGGTAACTTGGAAAGTTTACTCTTGATGTATATTTCAACCTTACAGTCTTCCTCACAAGAGTAAAATTTCCAACATCCTCTTGTGTTTCCTTTGCTACCACACTCCCTACTGCAATTATTATGGAATGTTTTGTTCCAGCTAAAGATGTGGAAATATATTTGAGAAATTGATAGAGGAAAGACTGAGCATTGATGGAATGCAGTTTGGGTTCATGCAAGGCAGAGGCACTACAGAGGCAATAACTAGAGAAAAAGAGGAAGTTGTGCTTTGTATTTGTAAAATTATAAAAGGAATGAGACAGGGTGCCAAATGAGTAGTAGTTGGCATTGAGAAAGAAGTCCAGGATTGTCTTGGTTGAGTAATTATGGTACTGACTGGGCTTAAGAACCTCTAAGAGAATAAATGGTGGAGAAGGCAAAAAAAACCTGAGGTGGAAGTAAGGGTCCATCAAGGGTCTGTTTTAAGTCCCCCTTCTGTTTATTATGGTGTTAAAGGCATTGGACTGCCCTGGCAATTGTTTTATGCTGACGAATTGTGTGTCAGAGACATTTTCAAAAGTTTGAGAGCATTTATTACAAAAGTTAAGGAACAAACCATAAGAAAAATGTGGGGCTGTGCAAGTAAACTGTGATAGCTCATAAACATTGTCAGAGGCACTTAACTCGGTACTCTGGATAACCATTTATTCAGCACACCCAAGTTTGAAATCCAGAGCACACTCAGTTTTCTATGAGAATTATGGAGTGGTGATTGTTTTTTTTTTATGGTTGCCAGGATCTCAAGTACTATACTGGATAACAAAGAGTTTACTGCATTACTGTAAATTATGCAAAATGAATTACCCAATAAAAATCCTATATCTGAAACACCCATGGTCCCAACCATTTTAGATAAAAGAGGTCATACTGTATGCCTTTTGAAATACAATATCCCAAAAATTAAATCTGTCATTCAAGTAAATACAGTACAACACTCTTGATTCTTTGAAGTGTTGGGATTACTGATGCTTATGATTGCTACCATTCCCAGCACCAAATTTTGATACCTTTTCAAAGGAATACAAAAGTACAGTACACTACATACCTCCCACTGAAATGTGCTGCTTCTCCATTGAGCTTTTTCATGCAGACCACCTTAATAGCAGTGTCTGGATTTCCAAGACAATATTCTCTCCATTTATCATTATTTTCTGGTTGACATTCATCTTCATCCCCAATTCCACCGCTAAATTTCTTGTTTCCATGAATCACCACATCAAACTGTGAAACTCTACCGTTCAGTTGCATGATAGTGACACCACGAGGAATCTAAGAGAGATGAAGTAACTTCATTATTCAAAGTACTAAAACTAAAAAGACGAGTACAGCCACTCCTCGACTTATGACCACCCGGACATACGACCGCCCCAGTCGTACCAAAATTTTTTCAAATTAAGTATTTTCGAATCCCGACGTTAGTGATTGCGCTGTGTACTGACAAAATTTTTGTTTGTAATTCCCTTTAAAATGGCTGGCATGCTTAAAAGTGAGAGTTCTGTGGTGCCGAGAAGAAAAAGAGACACCCATTTTAGACTTTCTATGTATTATCTTAGCATTTTCGACTTATGACCAATTCGACTTACGACCTGGATTTGGATCCCTAACCCCGACGTAAGTCGAGGAGTGGTTATATTTATACCGGAAGGAATACATATATATTAATACAGCATATTTTATATTATAGAAACTCAGACTCAGTGTACGGTGAGTAACAAACACAGCAGTTGAAGTTCCTTAATTTAATAACAACTACAAGCAATAGTTTACAGGTTTCTCTTCATAGCTTGTGTATAACACACTTAACCATATTGCATTAGATGGTCCAGAACACCAGTAATTCCAATATGTACTGTAAAGAGAACTTTTGCCACATCAATACACCCCATTCCCCTGTACAGTACTGTACAGTGACCCCTCGCTTAACGAACACCTCGGTTAACGTAATTTCGATTAACTAACTGCTCTTCCATATGATCTTCACCCGTTAACTAAAAAATTGCCAACTTAATTTAACCGACCTCAACATGTTTTCGCTTGCACTGACCGGGCAACCAGCTTTAGTATCAGTCCGCCAATACATTAATCGGTTCTAGGGCTTAAATTCCTTACTATTTTTGTAAATATCAAGAAGTTTATACTATTCAATAATTTTAAAAGTTTAATATTCAATTTTTAGTCATTTTAACAATTATTGAACAAAATTGAAGGTAAAGTGACTAGTTTAATGGGCGGCATCCAGCCTCTTAACACAGCAAACAGGCGTCAGTCTCTCTCTGTTTTCACTGGAGGTAACATCTTGCTTGAGACTCTCTTCAACTAAACGCTTTTTTTCTGTGTTTCCAAGCAAATTATTGGTCATTTTGAAATATATTTTATATATTGACAATATATAATGCAGTACAGTGTTGATTTAAAGAAAATAATCTTGAATTAAACCAGAGAGCTAAAATTTTATGGGTGAAATGGCACCATGGGGTGACTTCTCTTCCACCCCAATACCTTCTCTTCTTCCTTCTCCTCCACCCCCATTCTAAATCCCATCATCATCATCATCATCCAGGAGCCTTCTACATACACACCTCAAAGTAAGTGAACTTTCTACCATTTTTGTTGAATTTAGGAAATTTTCGTTGAGCTGGAACCAACACCAAAACCCATTGAAACAATGGTTTCGGTTAACGAACGTTTCGGTTAACGAACGACCTTCTGGAACGGATTGAGTTCGTTAACGAGGAACCTACTGTATATAGAAAGCCTTAGTTACTTTACAATAAATTATATGAAAATTTTCTGAGTAATTGGATATTAGTTCTAACTAAACCCATTGGTAATATGCCCTAGTCCTAACAAGGTTCCAGGTCCAATGAGCCACAATCTTGTGATACATCATTTAGCTTAGGGTTCAAACTTAATTTTATTATAGGTCATTTGAACAAGTCTTAATGGATCCCAAACTTAGTGGCACACTGATTAGAGTTGAATTTTCATTTTCTATTAAAATTGGATATTACTTTATTAGAACATATAGCTCAGTGTGCCCAATTTGTGATGTCCCCAAAACTTATTAGCAAGGGATTTACTTACACTGCATCTAATTTTGGCACAATGTTTGACTTGGCAATGCTATTTCACTTACTGGAAGCTAAACATGTCTGTTCTGGGTTGTCTTCCTTATCTTGGCAAAAGCTCAGTCCCAAGGGTGCTGAACTAGTAACTTCCACTGTATACTTTTAATCTGATAGGTAACAGAAATATCATAATCAATACTACACTGCAGGTGTCTCATATACATGACAACAATTTTTATTCTGCACACTGGAGGTGTTACCTATATGGGAGGGACACTTGAAAAAATTTCCATACACTCTTGCAAGCAGCTGGGGGTTATATAGTAAATCTTTTCTGTTGGCATCTCTTGAGTTTGCCATAAGAATAGGTGATTTTTTTTTCAATTCTGGCACCCCATATTCATCATGATGTCATGGAGGAGAGCACACCAACTGTGCACTGCAAGGACAACAGCCCAAAACAAGAATTTTTTTGTTGATATATTGGATACAAAGATTCCAATCTCTTAGAGGGCAGCTATGATGAACCTGATGTGTGTGGTATGCAAGTGATTCAAGTGAGTGTGATTATGAGTCTGGCCCAAGCAAATGTTGTCACCATTGGAAGAAACGTGGACTTGGGAATCAACACACTTCACACAACATCAGTACACATTTGATTCAACAAACTCGGTTGCCTCAGAGGAACCAAGACCTGTGCTTGATGAACTGCTAAGGATATTCGGAGAGGAATTTATTATTTTAACCCTTAGGCTTCGGGTCATGTCATATGATGAGTGTCTGTAGAACTTCGAGTAATATCATGTGATGTTTTGATCTTTCGCGAGCTTATTTGAATAGAAAGGGCAGGCCTAGATGAGAGCCAGCTTTTGTGATGTAGCAATCTCGCCCTTGGTGTAATAAACAAGGTATATTTCCCTTTATTTTATATTATTTCTTTACTCTATTTCTCTTTACCATTTATTTGTTTTATTCTTTACTTCTTACTCTTAGTCTTCTTTTCTTTGTTCTATATAGTCGAGAGAGAAAGAGAGAGGAGGGAGGCATGAGGCATGTGAGGGGAAAGGAGGGTGCACGATTAGCCCCCTCTCCCTTTGTGGTCAGGGGGTAGGGAGACTTGTATGAAGGAGGCCAACAGTAACTACCCCATACATAACATGAAAGCATTTATGATTTATACTGTCAGGTTAATACTCAATGTTTATTTGGTTATTAATCACTCAATAGGATATTTTCACTTAGTTCATTTAAATAAATTTTACTTAATAAAGAGAGAGATGAATTATGACACTTCTTAATGATTACACTATTTATTGAACACTTTCTATTAAGATTGACAATCACACTTTTAAGCAATAAACTACACCTCAAGCTAGCTTCATAATATAGCATCGCATAAAGGGATTCACTATAGGGCACTGTTATGATACTAAGCGAGTTTTTTACCCGCCCAACTAAACTCTTCAACCTGTTTAGTTTTAAACGAAGGAAAATTATCTTAAAGTTTCAAACTCAAGTAATTTATTTATAAATGTATAACTAATATATGATGATGTAAACTTTATACAAAATCTATACTAATAAATGGACAGTTCTGTAAATCCCTCTTTAACAGTACAGCATACTGTACTTTAATATCCAATCACTCTGGAGTGGTAAGAGTATAATAACACAAGATACTGTACTACATACTGCCTACAAATTAGTGTTGGTAACCTCGATACTACTGTGTCACACACGCCACTTCATGAACATTCTCAACTATTCCTAGCCAGTGTTGCCAACATGTAGTAAAGACATATACAGTATTTATTTTCTGTTCATATACTGTAATGCATGGCCAGTTTGTAAAACTAGAATTGCTTTTTATTTGTTCCCAAATATACTGTACCTGCATGGGGGAGGGTGCTGACCAAAGCCCTAAGCCCAGGGGTTAAAGACTTAAGCATTAACAAGTCTTATGTTTTGAAAAGTACTGCACAAAGATAAAATTAATTTCTTTTGGCCTCTTGCAATAAAAGGATTAAAAATACTGTACAATAACCCCCCCCCCTCCCCCCAATATAACATGGCCTCAAAATATCCCTCAAATCTATCAGATTTCAAAATTTTCTGTTAACATGGCATGATGGTGTTAGGTGATGTGTCTGAGTCGCAGGTGAAATACCCAAATGTATGAGAATTCTGGAGAAAAAATTAACATACTCAGTCTAATTTGTATTGAGAAAAAATTAATCACAGACCTGTTTTGTCAACAAAAACGAGGGAGTTGCACGGTCCTAAACCTAAGCGGTTAACAGGGAATAAAAGTATTATATGTGTAAAATACTGCTGTTTGGGCTTGTAACTTGGTCTCTTGGAAGCTGTTTCAATAAATTATTATTCAAATGTCATCATACTTACTCCATAATTTGCCAGGAAGACTTTGGATTATAAAAAATAGTTTAAGAAAGGTGATCAAGATCTGTTATGGTGGAATAGACATACAGGTAGTTCTGCTATAACGCGATAATTGTGTTCTTGTAAAATATCGTGTTATAGAAAATCGCGTAATAGAAATAACAGGGCTTATGGAGAAAATAGGGTTAGGTGCAGATTACTCGAAATCGAAAAAATTTAGTAGTTAGCCTAACACAAAGGATAGCACAGTCTAAATAAATGTTACATTAATATCTAATAATGAAATCATACAGTAAATGTAACACTTTACTTGATGGGGGAGAAGGGTGATTTTGAGGTTGATAAAATCGAGCTTCTCTTCAAGTGTTATATCCTTTCTTTTACGATCATCACCGGGAATTCTATCACCAGAACGCTTCTTGTTGATATTCTTCTTTACTATATTCACAGTTAATACAGTGGGGTATGCTATAACGAACGGATCCTACTACGAATATTCCTATAACGAACGGTTTTACCTATAAAATTGAGAATGCTATAACGAACGAAACTCCTACAACGAACATTATTTAATTTTTTTTTCTTCTAATTTATTGTTTTTTATTACAAATATTAATGATATTCTTTATTTCAGGGGTTTAGATGCATATTTATGCACTTTTTTACAATTTTTACAATTTTATATTATATTTTTCAGTGTTAAGTGGTTGTATTTGGGGGCCTGGAACGGATTAATCCTATAACGAACGAATGCTATAACGAACAAGGTTCTAGAACCAATTAGATTCGTTATAGCATACCCCACTGTACCACAAAATTGGAGAAATAGTAAGCAAAAATCGCGTTATATCAAACAAGCATTCGCGTTATACAAATATCGTTCCTAATTCATAAATCGCGTTAGAGCAAATTCGCGTTATCAAAACACGCGTTATAGCAGAACTCACTGTATTGCAAGAATGTAGAATAAAAGATTAATGGAAAGAACATTTCATTTGGTAAGGTAGTAGGAAAGAGCGAGAGAACAGCCAAGGAAGAGGTGGATGGATGAAGTGTGGAGTAAGATGGAACACCAGGAAGCACGAGTGTGCCTGCAGGATCAGAGTGTATGGGGTCAAGTGCTATACTGGAACATATATATAAACAATGGTGAAGGGTGAGGTTGGGTTTTATGAAGCAACAGGGGACTGTGTTGTGGATAGGAAGCATCAGAGGAGCATCGGTTACACACATAAGAGAATAAATATCAGCTCTTGATTATAGCCACTCCGCAACATGCAGAATAAAAAATACAAATTATATTACCATTTCACGAATATCTTGATGTTTGCTGTAGACAAGATCATCAGGGCCCCTTGTGAACACCTTCATGTCATGAAGATCAGCAGTGTACCCGTCAGGAAGAATTCCCTTAGGAACATTAGCTATCACTATTTGTACTTTCTTCTCCCTTTTCTTTAACTCTGCAAACTTATTTAATCTGTGGGTTTAAATATTTTATATTCAGATATTATTTCCAAGTACCTGTACAGTATTGTAGGGTGAAATCCTTCAAATTTGAAACATTTAAGACCAGATCAATTCTGATAGAGTAGGTTTTAGTACAGCATCAGATATATATTACAATACTGTAATGTAAAAGAAAATTACAAAAAAATTATGAAGTGCTTGTTTATAGAATACAAAGTACTGCTTCACATCAAGCAGGAACAGAGTGGCACCTTCCAACCCTGCTGGTCCCAGTTAAGAAGCCAACCCACTCAGCCACCTCAATGAATAGAAGGAGATGATCCTAGCTGCCTAACCCCAGCTTAGCTCACAAAATAGAATTTCAAGATCAATGCTTAATTTCTGACATCTCATTTACACACCTGAAAACACCCGTAGTATCAAAGCTTAACCTTTTTAAAATCCTGTACCACACAGTCTATTTCAATTGTCTGTTCCTTGAGGGATCAGTCAAACCAGGTTGTAGTTGATTCCCAAGCCTTTTATAGTGAAGACTTCAAGGATATACTACTGTACAATGAAAGTCAAGATATCCAAGTCATTTGCCCAAGTACTAGTGTTAGGTTCAACCTCACTATCACCATTTTACAGCCGGTTTCTAAGCTTGTGTGGGTTAGCCGTGATTATCTAATGGCAGTTCTTCAAGTGATAAGGTCCCTTGCAGCCTCTATCATCCATTTTTTTTTCTTTGAGACCATTTCTAATAACCTCTCCCAATGTCACTCTTGGCCTATATATAACTTGCCAAAAAATCCAAGGTCCTTCAAGCACTTGCATCCTTAATCTCATGAATAAAAAAATGCAATCATGAACTCTGCATGTTTTCCTGTTGGGCATTACACAGAATGCAAGGGGTTACCCAATAAACAAGACCCATGCAGGGCAAATCTGAATTTGACTCCTGGCTCTCCTTCCTTACAGAATTTAAACTCATTCATCTCTTGAGCCAATTGTCTCCTTCAATTTCTCTAAATGCCTCAACCCTCTCAGCCTGCCTTCCCAATGCTCGAAATACCCAGACACCTTCTTAACCCTGAAAAAGAATTTCCCATCTCTCAACATCAAGTTACACATCCATCTCACCATTATTTCAACTTGCTATTTCAGCCCCCTACACTTTTCCAGCCGCTTCTAACTCTTGCAACTTCGGCACTGATCATGTCACCAGTGCAGCAGAATTCATTAACACAGTTTACATACCTGTATACTGTACTGTATACCACATCCCCTAAGTCATGCTTCTCCAAACTCGCTAGGGCTGCACGATTACAGTACTGTAAAGCACAGTATTTGCACATACAGCACATTTAAAGGTTAGCAACATCCTGCAATCTGTCTTTTAAACCAATGCACCTCATGTGTGCCCACAACTTCAGTAAATTACTGATTTACTGCCAACCCCTTTCTCATGGACAGCATACTCCCCCACACAAAAAACTGGGGTGGTGGGAGGGGTAATGGGGGAGATTCAGGTATGAGATAATGGTTGTCTTGCCTTCAACCTAGTTTATCATATATATTGTTAAAAGGACTAGCATACAAAGGAATAAGAAGCTTATCTACCTAACTGCCTTGAGAAACGGGTCTTCACAAATTTTGCCTGAGATACCACACATATGTCCATAATACATCATTTGAATCATGTCCTCTCCACAAGCATGAACCAGCCCATACAAGCACACCCAGATGACTTATTCAAATTCACAGAGAATTTGTTATTATGGTTCTGAATAATTTATGTGGTGACTTGGCTAGCTGTGTGGCAGCCACTAAGCTTTTAGCTGTGTGTGGCATCTATATGATAATTATTGGTATTGTAGTTGTGTATGAAGGTCACATAGTGGCTAGGTGTAAGGAGCAGCCATATAGTGGTTAGCTATGTGTGGTTGCCATGTGGTGGATAGTTGTGTGTGGCAAGCAAGTGGTGGCTAACCATGTACAGTGGCCATATATTGGCTGGAGAGAAAAAAAACAGATGCTATTCACCAATAAAATGTTCATTTACTTTCACTTGTATTTTCTTTTGCATTTATTTACTGAATTATTTATTCCATTTTTTATTTCCTACACACCTATCTCACAGTATATTTTTTCTTGTATTGTTACTCTCACTTGGAGCCCTTTGCCTACTCAATAAGTTTCCAAATGCATGAAAAATACTGTACTTGACTATTAATGTCTGTAAAATGTTAATTACTAAATGTTTTACCATCTGTTTATAAATTTTATAATGACTATTTCATTTCCTAGGAGTCCTTGAGGTCAAGTATTTTTTGGTACATGTTTTATTTTCCTCAGTCATAAAAAGATGACAGCTGAATGGTTTTCTCACCCTCACTTGTTGGGCTATTTGAGATCTACATACAGTAGTTCTTTGTGATGCATATATCCCTTAAATAGGCTTAACTAGGGCTTAAATTTGATGAGTAAAAGATACCAAATTCATTCCAATAATTTAATCTCAAGTTTTTTATTACTATAGAAGTATATTTTGGGAGAAATGAAACATACCTCACTGCAGCATCTTCACTATTATTGGCAACTACTATCATTTTCCGTATTGCTAATGAGAGTGAGTTCGGTAACGGTGTTTGCATTTGGTTTTGATAAATGTCACCCAGCTCTGCTAACACGTCATCAGGAGACAGTGGTTCTTCCATGGTTTCCTAAAAAAAAAAATAAAATAAATAATTCTACCCTAATCTATGGATGGGTTCCATTCCTGGAGGCTATCTGTAAGCCAAATTATCTGTAAACCGGGAGTAACCCTTCCATAGGTAATCACTGAAAACACACAGTACACGTAATGTATATACAGTAAAATTTCTATACAAGTATGGGACCATTTATCCAGCCTGGGACCTGAAGGTTGCCAGACAAGGTTTTTATGGGGGGGGGGGGAATTTGGAGTGCCAGGCCTAAAATGTACAGTAAGCCTTCTGTAACTGGCTGTGAAGACTGTCCAGATCACTTAATTCAGTGTCAATGTAACTTAATAGAAAAAATGAAGAAAATTACATATACTCTGTACATGTAGTCAAACACAACAACAACAAAAATCTGCATCATTTACAGTGTTATCCAATCTGACAAACTGGACCAAGAAAAGACGAGTTGACGGTTTTGGGCAAACGCAAAAAATACACTCTGCCACGTTCGTAGAGTGATTCGGTATGTATAATTTGTAATAAAATTTTAAAGCCCTGCTACAATAGTCGAGATAAGTTTATTTCTCTAGAAACAGAGCCGCCATTTGCAATGACGTCACTAGTTTCAAACACCGCTGGGTTGCAGTCGTAGGTAGTAGAAATGATGGCCTCTTCAGACCCCAAATTTCACGTTCAGGTAAATTTTAAGGGTTTTTTTATGGTCACATAGAATGGATGGATGGATGGATATATGAGCGATAGGGGTTGGGTGTAAATGGGACTGCCCGTGCCCAGTATGGGCTAAAAGGATTGCTGCAGTTTCCTCCATTCTCATATTGTTTTGGACATAAAAAACTCCAATGTTCTACCAGCTCAGCTGTCATGTACTCTTACCTAGTAGACTTTCTCTTCTTTTTTTCAGTGTATTTACAGAGTATATCAGTACTAGATGGAGATACGAGTAAATTTAAAATTGATGACGTTGTCTGGACTTTGTTTTGATAATGCCTGATGCTAGCTAAACATGACAACATAGTGCTGTTATTGTTTTGATGATTCACTAATGAACCACTGGGATATACTGTATCATCATTTATATTAATTAATGGGTAAAATTTTACGATAAATACCATAAGTATTTGGATGTTTAGATTCGAGATAGGCTATATTGGGTAAATTTAAAGTTTTGGTCATCCTTGTACTTAAACAGACTATGTTTTTTTTTCTGATGGTTTGCGATGTGTTATGAACGATTTTGACCTTCATTTCTATTGGCACTCATTTTAATAAGACTTATGGTAGAGTGCAGTACCGGAAACAGTATCTGTAGTCAGAAATCCATACCCAGGGAGTGTCTGTACTCTTCTAACATTATCAACAATAATAAGGTACGGTAAATCTACTACACAACACACAAGCAACTCTGAATAAATTGTATCACCTCATTCCCCTGAAAATTACAAATTAACATGATTTACACTACAAACAAGTACTATTGTATTCCCAGTCTGAATATACAGGTACAGAACAGTACTTTAGAGATACAGATGAGGTGCTTGATGTTGTTCACACTACAGTACAGTAATCACCTGGCTGACAGTTGCATCATGCTGTGTAATATTTGCTCTGGGGTGATCATACTCATATTCTATTATAATTTGATGGTGTTTCTATCATAATCAATAGCTAATTTACATAGTATAATCCACAAATTAATGAGAAATAGTCGCCTCTTAAAATACTTACTACAAAGATAAGAATATCTGGACAAAATTATTGAAATCAAACAGAATGGATATAGAATCCTTGGAAGAATTCAGAGGAGAATGATGAGACTAATCCCGGGCATTAGGAACCTTGAGTACAGAGACAGGTTAAAGCTTCTTAATTTGCACTCCCTCGAGAGACGTCGAGTGAGGGGCGATATGATCGAGGTGTATAAATGGAAGTCAGGGCTGAACAAAGGGGGCATTACAAAGGTACTCAAACTATCCAACCAGGAGCGAACTCGTAACAATGGTTTTAAATTAGACAAATTTAGATTTAGGCGCGAAATATGTAAACATTGGTTTGGAAATAGAGTAGTGGACGAGTGGAACAAGTTACCAAATATCATCATTAGCTCGAATACGCTGAATAGCTTCAAACATAGGTTGGATGCTTATATGAGCAATAGGGGTTGGGTGTAAATGGGACTGCCCAGTATGGGCCAATAGACCTGCTGCAGTTTCCTCCATTCTTATGTTCTAACTTCAGGTGGTAGTGCTGTTCTCAGAAACTGCCAATTAATTAAGATGGCCTTCTTTCAGACTAACCGAACCTAACCTAATCCAACCCAACCTCCATTTAAAATTCGGTGGATGAACGAAACAATAATAATACCACCTCACCTAATGTAACCTTAGCCTAACCTAACCTTAAACTAAACCAACCATAACATAACCTAACATAACTGAACACCTGCTGTGGGCGAGCTTACTGTTACCGAGACTGGGGGAAGCGGCTATGAAGTCTTCCATATTAACAGGTTAACATTATACTGTATTCTGTAAGGTATTACTTCACTTGTTGCCACTAAACAAATCTAAGGAATTTTATAGTTACAATCGGTAATTTTGACAATTCTAAGACACTTTTCTTCAATGGCATTTCCGGCACAAATTACATTTAAGCGAACGCAATGTTTAGCGTTTTATTATATACGATCATAAGTAGCGGTACACACACAGAACATTGAATGAGGGTGGAGCTCTCCCTGGTTTGGTTAGGTTAGGTTAGGCAATATTCAAAACTTGTTTCCAATGGTTTTGATGTGTTTTGAACACTTCTTATCTTGATTTTTATAGCAAATCTCTACCTAGATTTTGAGATGGTAGAAGGGGGCTTATCTCAGAAGTTATTGGTTTGCACCAGAAATGTAGGTCAAATTAATTCATAAAACATAATAACCATCGGAAAACATAGTTTCAATTTCGTATAATAGTAACGAATGAAAATTTACCTTCTTGTATATAACTATATATGTGTACCCAACTTTCACTAAAAAAAAAAACTACTTATATTTAAAAGTATGTAACTCATAATTCACCTGTGATGATGTATTACTCTCTCACTTTCACCAAAATAATAAAATTAGAGCAGTGTGAAGACGTGGCAGAGTTTAAAGTGAAGTTCTCCCAGGTCTCCCTACTGCTCCTCTCAGTTGAATTTGGACGATACGTATTGTGCAGTACTGATGACGTCATGTGGGTCACTGTAGATACTTTTACCTCTTTACTTTAATAACAAACTATTGATTATTATTATTATTATTATTATTATTATTATTATTATTATTATTATTATTGTTTTTATTATTATTATTGTTCTAACACGAAGGAAATCTAAGTTAATTATCCAATTGTAATTTTGATTTGATTTATTCCATTTATATCTTGGGTTATCTGAAGAAGTAAACTATTTCGTAATTTTGGATAAAAGTGAGGATAATGATAAGATGAATTCATTACTAAATAATAAAAGAACTTATTGTGAGCTTAGAAAAGATCCCCTGGAAAATATTAATAACTTATCCAACTCTAAAAGGAAGGAGTTATTGAGAAAGAACCCAGATCTCATCAAACACTTCTCTCAAATCAATCCCACTTTACCTTATATGTATAGATTGATCAAAACACATTAGTTTAATAATCTATTACGCTCTATCATGAGTTCTGTGGGTTCTGTTACGTACAAACTGTCCAAATGGTTGGTTTGGACCGATCGCCCAAGTGGCTAACGAGCCGATCAGTGGTGAAGAGGATAAAAGTAATTACATGTGGCGGTCGACAAAGTTAAGAAGAAAACCCAGAAATTCAAGACGTGGGTTGGGTCAAACGATGAGCAGGACAGGAGGTTGTATGCAAGGGCCAGAAACCAAGCAAAGATAAGGTGTAGAAGGACTGAAAAGGAGTTCCAGAGGCTGGTTGCAAGTGAGGCCAAGTCAAACCCAAAGGCGTTTTACCGCTATGCAAAGTCGAAATTAAAAACGCGAGAAGGAGTATCAGACCTGAGGCTTGATGGTGGTAGTTACGCAGATTCTGACCAGGATAAAGCTGAGGTATTGAACAGCTTCTTTTCCACAGGTGTTCACAAGAGAGGATGCGATTAACCTTCCTGCGTTTGAGGACAGACGGTTCGACACAGCACTGACCCTCATTGTGTTCACAGAAGAAGTTATTAGAAATAAACTGTCAACGCTAAACTTTTATCCTCTTCGCCACTGATCGGCTTGTTAGCCGCTTGGGCGAAAGGTCCATAAGAGTCCCGGCCCTAACATGGTGCATCCTAGAGTGCTAAGAGAGTTGTGCAACTAGCTTGCCGAGCCCCTGAAGATCCTGTTTTACTTTTATCCTCTTCACCACTGATCGGCTCGTTAGCCTCCCGGGCGATCGGTCACGTCTCTGTCACGCACTGTTGGCAAGTACTGGGCATGCACCGGCTCCTGAATGTACCTGAACCTGCTCCAGTGTTGGTCAAGTCTTCTCTTGAAAGAGCTCACACTCGGTGCCGTCACAACACTCTCTGGTAGATTGTTCCAAGAGTTTACAACTCTCACTCCGAAAAAGTTTGCCCTCACAGTTTTCTGGACTTGTGGCTTCTTCAATCGTGAGCTGTGACCCCTTGTGGGGCGAGCGTCCGCCAGCTCCAAGTAAGGACACTCGACTGAGTAGTGCCCCCTGAGACGGTCCGACTAATTACCCAAATGTAGCAAAATGTAGCCGCAATGAAGTCAAATAATGGTCCTACAAGAATAAATCGGGCTGTGAATCACTTTTCGATTATTATTTGGTGTCATAAAGTCACAAAAAATTGGTAAACTTAATTTAATCTGAGTTGTGTTAGGTTAGGTTAGGTACATGCAATTGATCTATTAACTCAAATTAAATTAAGTTTACCAAATTTTTGTGACTTCGTGACACCAAATACCAGTCGAGAAGTGATTAGCAGTCCGATTTATTCATGTAGGACCATTATTTGACTTCATTTGGGTACACTTGGGTAATTAGTCGGACCCCCCTGAGATGCTTATACACCTCAACTAGGTCACCCCTCGTCCGTCTGTAGTATAAGCTAGGCAAGTTCAGGCGCTCCAATCTCTCAGGGTAGCTGAGGTGTCGAAGTGCAGGCACCAGTCTGGTGGCCCTCCTTTGAAAATTTTCAACCAACTGACAGTCCCTAGCATATCTCGGGGACCAGATGGGGTGACAGTACTCCAGATGGGGAAGCACTTCACTCTTGAAGATCGTTAGAGGGACGGACCGTCTAGATATCTGAACGAACTTCTTATAAGACCCAATAATTTATTTGCCTGATTTACCTTCTCGCAATGGCCCGAGAACTTCAGCTCATTGTCAACAAACACACCTAGGTCCTTCTCACATTCAGTTTCAACTAGTGCAGTTTCTTCATCCCATTGGGACATATGATACGCCTCCTTACCGTTGGAACACCCCAGGTGCATCCTTTTACACTTCGTGACATTGAATCTCAGCAGCCATTTCTTCGACCATTCTTGGAGCCCACAGAGGTCCTTCTGCAGCTCTTCACAGTCCGCTTGGTTCTTGATTTCCCGAAATGACTTGGCGTCATCGGCAAACATTTGTATGGAGGAGTGTACAACGTCAAGCATGTCATTTATGAAACAAACAACAGCGGGCCCAATACACTGACCTGTGGTGCCCCACTTGTGACAGGTATGGATGACGATTTCATGCCATTAACCACCACACACTGCTTGCGGTCATGTAGAAAGTCTTCTATCCACTCTAGGACATTTCCCCGAATTCCACACCTTTCCAGTTTGATTTTCAGCCTTTCATGGGGTACACTGTCGAAAGCCTTGGCAAAATCTAGGTAAATAGTGTCGATATTACCACCCCGTTCCAGAATATGGGTCCAAATATTCAATACCTTGAGCAATTGTGTTAAGCAGGAGCGCCCCGGCATAAAACCGTGTTGGTAATCTTTTACAAGGTCGTTTCGTAGTAGATGTTCCATTGCCTGAAAGAACAAAAGGTCCCCAGTGAATGGAAAGTGGCTTATGCGAGTCCTATCTTCAAGAAGGGCGATCGTCACTCCACGAACAACTATAGACCGGTGAGCCTGACCAGCATAATATGTAAAGTACTTGAGAGTATTATCAGAGATGCCGCGATGGAACATCTACATACTACGAAACAACCTTGTGAAGGATTGCCAGCACGGTCTTGTGCCGGGGCACTCCTTTTAACACAATTGCCCTAGGCATTGGATATTTGGACCCATATACTGTATATACGGTATTTTTTTTTCCCCAGAACAAGGATAATTCCATTAGAGTGTTTATTTTGGGTAAAGATTCATTTTTGTCGACCACAGAAACTACTAACTAGGTTTTCCTAGGGAAATCTAAAGGCTGTTATTGTAAGGCGTTTCAGATGTACGGAATAGCTAACATGTTAGCTATTCTGTCACACACAGCCTTGCCAGCTACGGTGTACTCCGAAGACATCAAGAAGCTATTCACAGGGACACGTTAGATTTTGAAGATTATACAGGTTGACAGAATAGTTCAAGAGGTTTATGACTTTCTTAAATAGATAACTGACACTAACTAAACTACAAACATCAGATTCTCTGATGTTTGGGCCTTAAAATAATCTAACTTCTGTAGCAATTGGAAATTCATGGCTATCCCCAGGGACAATATCATGGGATGCCATTCGTACTGGCAAATTCGACACTCACTTAATTAACCAGTGTTACCAGCAATAAAGACAGTTAAAGCTTTCAACATCACTCACAAAGGATCTTGTATGCACTAACTGTAATCAGACATCTCTAAGTTGACTCAAAACAATGGTGTCCTCTCTCATATTCAAATTCACTTTATAGAGAGGTTGGTTTCAGGAAGTCAGAGAAAATGGACAGCACCTAAGCTTGAGAGCCATGAGAAAACAGATGCCTCAGATGGGAGACTCAGTAAAGAAGGCATAGCTACATGTTTTGTGGGCTATTGAGCACAATATGAATCGTCTGATTTTACGTTAACTGACGTGTACGACCATGGTCATTACACTGTCACTAGCTATTGATCGAGCTATTCTGTCTGCGCAGACGCTGCTTTAGAGTTGTGCGCAGGGAACGTTCAGGGGGAATAGCTAACACCTCGATCAGGCATTAGCCTTTCGCTGGGCCCAAGTGACACAAGTAGCTAAAAACCAATCAGCGAATTCTCCCACTGAAAATACACGGATCATGGCCGCTTATGGAGAATATTTTGATTAATATTGAAGAGTTGGAGGCATGTAAGGCAATAAAAAAACTCGTATAATAATAAATATAATTTTATATATGGTAGTTTATGGGATAGGACCTAAAACAAAGTATAAGGCATGAAAGAATTGAAAAGGATTGCACCTAATTGAAACCTGTTTAGGCTCCGCCCTTTTTACGTGGGTGCTGTCCGATTTCATTAGCCGTTGGTGACTTTGGTGTAACAATATTGATAATTACTTAAATATGATTAAAGCTTTAACAACATTACTCGTAAGATACTTTAAATAAGGTGAACAAGTTGATTACAGTTCTGCAAGTGCAAAAATTAAGACTTAAACGAACCCAAAGTTCGTTGTATTATGTGCATAAATATGCGAACACATAGCCGCCAGAGAAGCGTAGAGCAGTGCTGCTCTGCTCGTTTCTTGTGCTTTCCGATTACAACGGGCCCAATTTTTTTTAATCCTAATTAGTGTCGACTTTTTTCCTTTTTCGTCTCTTTCCATAATTTTCTCTATATTTTCTTCAATATTTCTTTCCGTATTGAGTCCAAATAACAGTTCTCCTAATTTTATTGTTTTCTGAAGACTGTTGTACAACAGTTATTTCCAAGACGCGGTACAATGTCGTATTTTTTAATGACAATCCGGGAAAGCTAACGGGTTCGCTATTCCATGCATCTTAAAATGCCTTGCAATAAACGCCTTTATTTTGTTAGTAGTTTCTGTGGTTGACAAAAAACGAATTTTTACTTCAGTTTTTGGTAAAGGTTCGTTTTAGGTCAAACATGGAACTCATATTTCTATGGAAATGGGGACAAAGAACAAAAAAATATTCTTTCACTTTTTACTTTTATCCTCTTCACCACATAATATATATACACAGTACTGTATTCACACAAAAGATTAAGTCTGGAATGTCAGTTAGCATCAAACTTCCGTAGAAATTAACATCTTGCTGCAGGTAGTCACGCAGTGGTTCCCAAACTTTTTCTGATCATTACCCACTTTTCATATATGATCCTTATCCATGGGCCCCCTCTCCCAATCCATATCTCTGGCTGGCTCAGCTGCTGACTGGCTGTTCTAGTGTGGTGGGGCTTGGGATTTTTATGTGTACATAGCCTCAGCTTATGGCCCCCTAAATTTTGCTGGGGGGCCATGGCCCCCAGTTTGGGAATCAGTGATTGGTAGTGAGTGATGGTATTATCCTAATTATCCCAGAAGTCCTTTCAATTTCTACATCAGGGGATTATCTTGTCTGTCTGTCTTGTGTCCTTGAGAAACCTTTGCCACATAACAGGGAACCTTGGTCGAATATTGCTCGCTTCTTCTCGGTTTTCTTGTATTTCATTATTCATCCACTTCAGGAAAGTTTCCCCAAGTGTCTGAAAATATATTAAAGATATTAATATGTCAAAATATTCAAGTAGCTTAACAGGAACATAAATTACAAACTAGAACCAATTAACACATACTGTAATAGTACAGTTGGGAATTTCAAGTTTTTTTGTGGTCTTACTCCTCTGAAGCTTACAAATTTAACCAGTAACAAACTTGTTTATACTCAAGGGTAACATCTAAAGACATGGATGGTAGGAATGAAAATGTGAGAGTATTTGTGCTGTAATGATGAAACTGTTTGCTCCTTTGACATCAAAATACATCTTGCCCCTATTCTTGACAATAATATAGGTCTTGCTGCCTGTCTGACACTAAAATAGACACTGCTACCTGCCTATCCTTGACATCAATATATGGGACAATACCTAACCCTGACATCATATTCTGTAGGATGCACTACTTAGCCACAACATCATTAAAGAGCTCCCTACCCATCCTTGACATTAATACAGTATAGGACACACACTACCTATCTTCTACATTAATACCTGTATAATTACTTCTGTCATTCGAGTTGTTCTCTATCCTTAGCCTCAATGTAGGACCATGCTTGACAATACTATTAGTATCAGGCACATGTCTATTCTTGACATCTTTTTTTATCTATAAATGGTTAATCTATCAACCAATTACTTTTTTTATCCATAGTTTTGCACTACACTATAGTGTACAATTAATATTACTGTATGAAAGGACTTTAATACTATACTAAAGGTACCACATTTAGGAAACAAAAAATGCATTACAGTACTTCACACTTACAATACCACTTTAGGAATGATACATCACATAAATATGAAGATTTACTGTACAATTTATTGAAAATGTATCATTGACCTCCTTACCTTCCAGTTTTGCAAATAATTACTGGTATTAGGGAACTTCAGCCACTTTTGAATATCATCCATTCTTCTATGTGTAGCCTCCACACAGTTTTGTAAATTAAAATCTTGCTGCTTCTTAGATGATACAAAAAAGTATACTGCCTTTTCTCTCAGTGCTCTCATCATTATGTACCATAACGTTTTGAACTTTACCATTCCAATAGTGTCTTCATTTTTATTTAAAAAATATAAGACTCTCCCTTCTATATCAAATTCACTTCGAACCTGTGGAAGGAAAACAAGTTGTGATTCTTTCAACAAAATAAAAAAAATGTTCAGAGAAACAGGTATAGGATGTAAATCATCATGTCTCATCGTTGTATGAGGAAGTGGCCGTTCTATAAAGAGGGTGGCATAAGCATAGCATCAGTTATGTCTTAATGCTCAATTTAGGCTGCAATGTTACATAAAAAATCCATTTAAAGGGTTGATATACACAGTATATGTCTATATTGATAGAGAAGCCTTATATACCATTCACTAATAGATTGCAGCAGCCATATAAGTGACAACTTGCCGGGAGTAAACAAATTTGTTTACCTCGTACTTGCATAATGAAATTCAAACTCTTTACTACACTGTACTGTATTCAGAAATACAGTACCATACAGATATCATACAAAAATATTATACAGTACTCTGTACAGCATGCCCTTCAAATTCACGGGGATTAGGGGGGTACATTTTTATTCGTGTGCAAAGAAATGTATATTTCCTTTATGTGTTTGGCCTAAGGACAATAATTTCTTTTACCTGTACGCCCTGTATTGTATTTTTGTGTGTGTGTAGAACACACACACAAAACTCATACAAATAAATAATAATGGGAAAATCCTCTTACAAATAATCAGAAACAAATGTATTAAAAATGTGAGTCAATCCTCAAGTCAACTCCGTACTTTATTAATAACAAAGCACGGAGTGGACTTGAGGGTAGACTCACATTTTTAATACATTTGTTTGATTATTTGTAAGAGTATTTTCCCATTAATATTTATTTGTACATATGTGTTTTTTGTTTGTGTATCTACACACACACACACACACACACATATATACAATACAGGTAAAAGAAATTACTGTTTTTAAATGAATGGCTCCCTGTCCCAGCCGTGAAAATGCCAGCAACTTTAAAACTACCCGCAGACATTCTTGGGTACATCCAGGGTGTCATCCACGAATAATCGAGCATCGAGGTCTGTGAATAAAAAATCCACAAATTATCAGGGCATGCTGTACAGACATAACCATACATTAGTTTCTAAATACTGTACATAATACAGTACTGGTTTTAGGGGAAAAAATAACCTGGTAAACCAGAAAACAGTTTGTCAACCTAAGTGTATTCATCACAAGCTAATGGTTCTACTGTGTATTTTCAGTGTGCTGTAATTGTGCATTACATCCTGAGCTGCCCAGTGTTTATCCTGACATCTCTCAAATGTCAAAACATTAAGAAACTCACTACCGTACCTGCACAGGTAAGCCATTCCATATACAGTATCCAGAATATGCATTGAGAAATTGTTTTGCCTCATTTTGATCTGTGGACTTAACAGCTTAGACCTGTTGCTGGTACTGCCATAATTTGGACTAAACATTATGCATGGTTCTTAACAATATAATCTTTACCTTGTCTAAACACCCTGTATAAATAGCTAAATTATCTCTTATTACCTAATCATAATTAGTCCCTAACCCAATGCCATTTGGTTCCATTTACTGTATAAGGAACACCCTGTACAGTGTACAATTTATGAGATCCTCAGCTCCCTCATATAGCCTTCATCACTCAAATTTTTCTGCTCAGTTACTTTACTTCATCCTCTTCACCAATGATCGGTCAATTAGCCACTTGGGTGGTAGGTCATTTCTCTGTTATGCACTGTTGGCAAGTATTGGCTCCAAAACATATTTGAACCTGCACCATTAATGGTCAAGTCTGGTGCCATCACAAGACTCTCTGGCAGATTATTCCAGTAGTTCACAACTCTCACTCCAAAACTTTACTCTCACAATTTTCTTAACTTGTGGCTTTTTGAAACTAAGGCTGTGACCTCTAATGGGGTGGGCATCCTCTAGTTCCAGGTATGAATACTTGACTGCGTAATGTTCTCCGAGGTGCTTATAAACTTCTACTAAATCACCCCTTACCCATCTATTGTACACGCTCAACAAAAACTTCTCAAACATATAATGCAATCTATTACAGGTATAATGTATGCAAATGAACTGCACTCATTTCCATTTTTTCTTTGTATCATCATTATTTGTGATTTTTTGCCGAGTGAAAACTGTCCTGAAATACGGTGGTCCCTCGGTTAACGAATGCTTCGATTAACGAATTACCTCCCATAAGGATCTTCAATTCGGTTAACGAATAAAACATCGATTAACGAAATCCTTACAAACATCACGTTCTGTTGTGAGCATCAGCTGATGGGCTAGTCTGCCAATTCAGTTATCTGTTCTATGTTTACATTCGTTTCCAGTGGAGTAAAATATCAAGAAAGTTGTGCTCTTCAATATTTTTGCATTTTTTTATATTAAAATTATTAGTCATTTTAACATTTATTTAACACATTGATAATATATGCAGTACAGGGAACTAGTTTTTTGTGCGCCCATCAGACGCTTGACTCGGCCAACAGGCGTCAGTTGGGCTCTGTTGACAGTGGAGTGAACATCTATTTTGTTGGTGTCTTGAATATTTTGCATTTTTCATTGAAATAATTGGTCATTCTGAAATTTAGTTAACATATTGATAATATATAGCACAGTGCAGTGTTGATTTAAATAAAATAATCTTGAATTACACCGAGTGAACTTAATATTTTATGGGTGAAATGACAGCATCAAGCATGGGTCCCCTGAAAGGTGATTTCTCCTCCATCCCCACTTCCTTCTCTTCTCCCTTCTCCTTCACCCCCACTTCTAATTCCCATCATCATCATCAACCAGGAACCTTCTACATACACACCTCAAAGTAAGTGTACTTTACTGCATTTTTTTTTTTACTTTGGATGTACTTTTTGGTGAGCTGGAACCAATTACCCAATATCCCATTGAAACAATGGATTTGGTTAACGAACGACTCTCTGGAACGAATTGAGTTCGTTAACCGAGGGACCACTGTATTGGAAAAAGCATATTTCTTCCTCTATGAAACTTTAATTAAATATGAAAGTAATCCTTCACTGCTCACCTTATTTTGGTGTTGTTCTAGTTCTTCTGCTGATATTTTTGAATGGGCAGGACAAGAAAATCCCAAAGCATCTAACACATCAAGAGTATGGTGGGGAGGCAGTGCAATAAGGCTCGTCTCCTGTTCCCGATAAACTGAAGTTAACGAGATGATGTTTAGCTGAGGTTTTTCCAAGTGGTTGAGGTTGACGATGTGTTGATTGCTCGGTTGAAGAAGCTCACAAACAGCTGTGCACTTAGAATGGTGCAAGAGGCTATACATAAGATGGCGACGTTGAACATCTATTGATTCTAAGGTGTCCAATACTGTTCTTGCCACCACCTGTGAAAATAATATTAGGAATTATTGGCAAAGTGATCATTAACTAAAATAAATGAGAGACCGTAACTAACATTATAAAGTGGGTTAGGAAATATAATCTGATTTGGTAATATAATCTGAATTTTAACATACTTTTTAAATGTGGTCTTTCAGATTGTATTTACAGTATAGTATATATAATCTGACATGAGCTATATTAAAAATCAATGTGCTGACAGGGGCTTTTTAAGAGACTACTGTAATAACTGAGGTACGTCACATGTGCTGTGTTCCATTGATTCAATAAGCTACATATCAAAATCTCTCCCATCTCTGTACATCATACATAAAATCTATCTCTTAGTTTGGATACAATTATTTCACTAATCCTTTAAGTTTACCAACCTTTTTTTTAATAGAGAAAAAACATAATTAATACAAGCAATCTATGATACTTTTAGGCTAACATATTTATATCCTCTTATTTTCCTTTGTCACTCATTTTTATTAATAACCCAACACCTGTTATTGAAGCCTTCTTACACATCCATCACATTCTCTCAAACCTATAGTCAAACCCTTCATTTTGTTCTAAATAATGCATTCTTTTCAACTGTCTCAACTCATGCCTATTGAATCAACTGATAACCTTTCTTTTTTTGCAAATTTGTATTCTATCTTACTGCCATTCTCATCCTCCACATTTTACCATCTGGAACAAAAAGACAGTTTGAATCACCTGAAGATTAGACACCCCAGCTTATTTTATCTGAAGATAACCATCCTAACGCTAACCTCTCTAGGAAGTGTTAAGGTGGTTAATTTTGAGATGAATTTAGTTGGGGTGCCTAATCTTCAAATGATCCAACATTTTAATCGTACAGTACTACAGTATCTGCAAGTCAACTAATGCTTCAAAACTCTAACCTTAGCAACAGCATATCTCTCCCCTTCATATAGGTCAATGTTGCCTCTTTCTCTAAACAGCAAGTGAACATTCTTGCTTCCAGCAATTAGATAGAACTGACCATCTATGTACCTGAAAAAATATTAATATATATATATAAAAAACTCAATAATTGATTTCATTTATTCATTGTAGCTGCAAGAAACATTGTAACATCAGTTACACTTAATGAAAACTTTCAAGTTTTATCAGACACAAACTACCATAAAGTTTAAGAATACAATACAGTTCTGTACTTTTAAAATATTTTCACATCAGAAACACATTCCTGCTTATGATTTTTTTTCAACAAGATTTTTCCTTGTCTCATTAGTCTAATACCTTTACATGTTGTATAAAGCATTTACTATTTTCATGCCATAGTGAGTTATTGTTCATTTGCAAGTTTTAGTTAATTGTTATAGAAATTCTGGCCATTACAGTTAGCTAAGAGGGGATTGTTACCACATATTCTTAAACAAAATATCTTCCCACATATTCAGGACTCAGTTAACTGGTCACATATAGTTCATTTTATTAGACAGTTCCTCATGACAACACCATCAATTAGTGTTTGGAGTAGAGGAGATGATGATGATGATGATGATGATGATGATGATGTTGCAGGAGGCAACTCAGAAGTTGAGAGAAAGGTGAAAATCAAGTATTTTTACTTCCACACACAAGAATCAACCTTCTTGATCTGCCACTCTTAAACTCTGACTACTGTACTTAAATTATTAACAAGTGGATGGATACACATGAATTACAAGCAATTTTCAATAAAGTGCACTTGCTGGTTCCAGCACCTTGATCATTGATGACATATGGTCATTTCTATAGTCAACTGACTGGCTAATTAATGTTGCTACCTACACAGATGTGGTGAGCCAAATTCACGTAACATAGGCGAGTCCAAAGACGTGAATAAATGATCAGTGAAGTTAGAATTAATGATAGATCAATTAATAAAATAGGTTACTTTTGTAATCATTCATTCTCAGTAATATATGAGTTTGTAGATAACCATAAAAATAAGCAGAACATATGTGAGTATAAAACCGAACACATTTATGTTGACTGAGAGTAAGCTATGTTCAAAAGCTCCAGTGCAAGCTGAGAGTTTCATGTTAAGATTGGCTAAAATAACACTCTAGCTCACACCAGACATGGGGTAATTGTAATCGATTACAATAAATTACAGTTTTGGAAGTACAGTAATCGTAATCAATTACATTCAAAATGTAATCTGAATTATGATTACAGCTCCAGGTGTGGACACTCAACTGAGGAGTGCCCTCTGAGATGTTTATAAACTTCAATTAGGTTCCCCCCTTGCCCAGCTATCGTATAAGATAGGCAGTTGCAGGCGTTCTAATCTCTCTGGTTAACTAAGGTGCTGTAGTGTAGGCACCAGGCTGGTGGCACACCTTTGGACATTTTCAATCAACTGACAGTCCCTAGCATATCTCGGGGACCAGATGGGATGACAGTACTCCAGATGGGGAAATACCTCACTCTCGAAGATCGTTACAAGGGACAGACCGTCTAGATATTTAAACAAACTTCTTGTAAGGCCTACTAGCTATATTGTTAATAATCAATTTATCACTTACATACAGGGGTGTATTGTAAAACAGTCATCATCATAAGATGCTCTCTTGTTATAAATCATCATACCTGCCACTAAAATGGGCTGCTTCTCCATTGAGTTTAGTCATACAAATGACTTTAGAAACAGTGTCTGGGTCCTCTAAAAAATATTGCTTCCACAATTCATTGTTTTCGACTTCTTCGTCATCTTCATCTCCAATACCACCAGTGAATTTCTTATTTGCATAAATAACCACATCAAAGCACGACAAACGACCTTTCATGTCTAAAAGTGTTGCGCCACGAGGAATCTGGAAAAGACAATTATTATAAGTTACACATATTTATTGTACCTACAATAAATATATTAACATTACCCAAACAAGATGCAGGATAAATATAAGTTATATTGTTAATCTTATTCATGTATACTTGTTCAAGTATAGTTTCTACAATCAGCTCTGTTCTACATATCATCACACAAACATTCATTACTAATATATTTTCGTAATGATTTAGATTGCAGGTCAAATGGACCCAAATCCCAGTTGACTCAGATCTAACCTAACCATTAGGATTGAGGAATTAATCTGAACTGTAATGTTGCACTGGGGCCCAGTAGGACTGAAGCCTAATAGAACCCAAGCCCATTTGACCAATGAAAATGTTTCAGGCCCCCTATCTCTAATTACATTAGTAACTTTTGAATAATGCTCTTTAATGCAGTAAATAAAAATAAATAAAATAAATGAAGGAATGAATCCCAAATCCCAATCTACAAATAAATCAGTATTGAGCAACTTCATCCAGCCAGCAAGGCTATGATATGAAACACATTCTCCATAGCCCTGACTTGTATGAAGGATAATCAGTTGGTAAGACACCAGCTTGTAAAGAGAATGCAAAGTTACTTGATCCTAACTTGGTTATAAAATTGGATTTCAGGATCAATCCTTCATTTATAGCTTTATGTCTTGAATCAAGCAATTCTATATATTAAGCCAGCAAAAGAGGAAACAGGAGGTTTATGAATGCTAGTGGTACAGTGGTAACGTGCTTGTCTCTAACCATTGTCTTGGGTTTGATGTGACGGGTGTTATCGTAGCTCACATTGTAAATACAATTAATTCCATCATGAAACACTCAAGCCTACTATAAATTATAGAAGACAAGCTGATCTATAAACACCTGGAAATATTGGTCTCAGTCCAGGGTGGTGTTGACTTCAAAGCCAATCACTTATGAACCACCATGTGCATTGTTTAGCCAAGGTAGCAAAACAACAAAACGATGTAACCTAATTTACAATATGTTACCATGATCTGCAGGACATAACACACCCAGTGCAAGGACTTATAATCATAAAAATCACTTAGCTGTGCACAGGGTCAGAGCATGAGTTGAGTAATTTGTCATAACTCTTCAGCCTTCTCTCTTTTTAGGGTTCATGTGTATACAAAGTGGTTATCCTTTAAGAACCAGGTATGAAGGCAAAGGATAATTATGTTTTTGAATGCATTAAATTTTTAGAGCACTCACAATTTTAGGGCCTCAGGGTCTGAGTCTTTAATCCATATAGTACTGTATACAGTTCCTGATGTTTACTATATACAGTTTATATATATATATAGTGTTACTTAATCCAAAATGTTAAGGTACAAAGTATGAGGCTGAGATACAATCAACAAGACTCATAAATGAGGAGCTGATACAAATTCTATCATTGTAAACGTAAACAGACATCTTACCATTTTGCGAACCTCGGGATTTTTGCTGTAGATCTCATCATCAGGGCCATATCCACTGACTCTGATATCTTGAAGGGTGGCAGTGATCCCTAGAGGTAAAATACCTGCAGGAACATCACCACTCACTATCCTCACCTTTTTATCCTCTTTCATTCTCTTCGAAGTTGTTTGTAATCTATAGATGCAAATGTATAATTTAAGAGTATGATCAATAAATATAGTAATAAAATTGAAAATCTGTAAATTAAAGTGCTTGAATATTATGATGTCCACAGAAATACATATATCCCTCCCTTCCTTATCACAACTGAGTACAGTACAGTATAATTTTTTCTTCCTTGTCAACCTTTTTTTAATTAGAGAGCAGTGTGACTAAAATCAAAAGTAACAGATTTCCTGCATTCACTGTGATCTGTTCTCTAAATGCACACCTCATCAAACCAATGGCTCTGCCATCTTAGACCCTAACCATACACTGGCTTTGCCCTGGACATCTTATTTTCTACAGAAAACTAATTGTCTGGCTTCTGTAAGAACACAGTAAGAATTTTGGGTAGGAACTGCAGCAATTCTGGTGTGATCAGTTACATCTGACCATAACTAAATCTGAGTTATCATTTCATACGGTTTACTTACACTGTTTATTTATCTTACCACGTCTAGGCTAGCCATCTAACCCATGGTTAGTGATGTACAATCTCATTAACATAATACTGTACCTCAGTCCACATTTAGTTATGGGGTGCCATGTAATAAGTGAAACATTCATTTCTATCCTACTCCAAATGTCATGATGACTTTGAATAACATGAGCCACCTAGGATGGTCATAAGGCCATTAAGATGAATTTATACTGAAATCCTCTTTTGTAGGTGAGAATATGCTGGGTGGCTTAGCTACCTTCCCTTCTCCTAAGGGTAGTCAGCAAGACAACTGGCACTGAAAACTGGGATGTTGTTGGTTCCTCTTATTGGAACTGAACATGTAATGGGTTACGTGTGCACTGCTGATATGGCAATGAATTGACTTCCTTCTGCTTTAAATGACTTGACTGCTTCTATGAAGACCCTTTACAAAAGCTCCATTTGGAAGGGAAGGTGAAACTAATCCACTGACCAGTCTCGCATACTATTTCAAGGGATAAATTTGAGTTTTAACTCTAAAGACTTGGGTGATGCATAACATGAACCACCCAGTTTAATCTTGCTTATAAAATGGGACTTCAGAATCAGTTAATTACATTTATTGATAATAATTCAAACATCAGAAAAATCATGTGGCAACTACAGTACATCTTAAGAGCCTCAATACAATTCAAAGAAATCACAAGTAAGATGAAGCTAATTCATTTCATTCACATATACTGTAACAATATTTGTCATACAAGAAAAAATATTGAATCAGTAGTTAAAGATCAGCCAATAATAATAATAATAATAATATCTAGCCTGTACAGTGTACAATCATCAAACAAGTTTACAGTTGGTTTAGAATGTATATAGACTGTGCAGGCACACAATTCAGCATTTATATACCTATATAGACAATACAGAAAGGTATCCCTAGTTTAATGATGGGTATGTGTTCCAGAAAAATCTAACGTTAAGCGAAATTATTGCTAAACGAGGGATAACGAGGAACAGTATCTGTGGAGATGGCATCTTGCCATTGTTACATGTAATGAAACTATAAAAGTTGTGGAATATTCATTACAATACTTTTATGTGGCTTAGAAACAAAGAAAATACAATATAAAACTAAAAAATATGAGAAAGGAAGAGCAAGGGTGTGTACAGTATGTATATTCACTGGTCTGGCTCACTAGTACACAATAATGTGGATACTGTACTACCCTGAAGATCATAATCAGTAAAGTGAATTATTTGGTTGATAAATACTGTATATACCCAAGACCAAACCCACTGGCCCTAAGAATACAAGGAGACCATTACATATGAACTATGCGGCAGTTGACAAAGTTAATGATGAGCAGGACAGAAGGATGTATGCCAGCTTCAGGAACCAAGCATAGTCAGAGTGTAGAAGTGATGAAAAAGTTTTAGAGTCAGATTGCAGGTCAAGTCAAACCCAAAGGCTTTCTACCATTACGCAAAGTTGAATTTAAAGACACACGTGAGTGTATCAGATCTGAGACTTGAAGATGGTAGTTACAAGATCAGGACAAAGCAGAGGCATTTAACAAATCCCTTTCTTTTGTGTTCACAAGAGAGGATACGATCAATTTCCTTGCATTTCAGGAAAGACAGTTTGACATAGCACTGATGCACATTATATTCTCAGAAAAGTGTATTAGGAACCAACTGTCAATGATAAAGATTCACAAGAGAGCGGCCCCTGACAATGTGCATCTTAGAGTGCTAAGAAAGTTGTGCAAGGAGCTTCCTGAGCCCCTTAAAATCCTGTTCTGCAGATGCATGGATGAACAAAAGATCCCCAAGTTACTGGAAAATGGCATTTGAGTCATATATTCAAACAGGGAGATCGCCACTCCACAAATAATTATAGGCCAGTGAGCTTGACCAGCATAGTATGTAAAGTACTAGAGTGCATATTACAAGATGCCGTGATGGAACATCTACTACAAAACAATCTAGTAAAGGATTGCCAACATGGTTTTATGCTGGGATGATCTGGTTGATGCAATTACTTAAGGTGCTGGATGTGTGGCCCTAGATCCTGGAGTGTGGTGGTAATATCAATACTATATATCTCGACTTTGTCAAGGCTTTAGACTGCATACCCCATGAAAGGCTGAAAATTAAGTTGGAAGGGTACGGAATTTAGGGGAGTGTCCTAGTGTGGATTGCAGACTCTTCATAACCACAAGCAGTGTGTGGTGATTATTAGCATGAAATTGTCATGCATACCTGTGTTAAGTAGGGTACTACAGAACAGTGTACTGGGCCTGTTGCTGGTTGTTTTGTTTTATCTACCTAACTGAGGTGTATAAGCATCTCAAGGGGCACTACACAGTCGAGTGTCCTTAATTGGAGTTGGCGTACGCTCGCCCCACAAGGGGTCACAGCTCAAGATTGAAGAAGCCGCAGGTTCAGGAAACTGTGAGGGCAAACTTTTTCGGAGTGAGAGTTGTGAACTCTTGGAATAATCTGCCAGAAAGTGTTGTGACGGCACCGAGTGCGAGTTCTTTCAAGACAAGACTTGACCAACACTGGAGCAGGTTCAGGTACATTCAGGAGCCGGTGCATGCCCAGTACTTGCCAACAGTGCGTAACAGAGACGTGACAGATAGCCCAAGCGGCTAATGAGCCGATCAGTGGTAAAGAGGATAAAAGTAAAGTAAATGATATGCCTGAAGCTATACACTCCTCCATACAAATGTTCATGGATGATTCCAAGTTATTCAGGGAAATTAAGAACCAAACGGACTGTAAAGAGCTACAGAAAGATCTCTGTCACCTTCAGGAGTGGTCAAAGGAATGGATGTTAAGATTCAACATCTTAAAATGCAAGAGGATGCACCTAGGTCATACCAACTGTAAAGAGGCATATTACACATCATTAACGGAGACCAAATGTGAAAAGGACCAGGGTGCGTATGTTGATAATGAACTGAAGTTTTCAGACCATTGTGAGAAAAAGGTGAATCAAGCAACTAAGCTAGTGGGTCTTATAAGAAGGTTGTTCAGATATCTAGATGGTCCACTCTTCAAAAGTATGGTGCTTCCCCTTTGAAGTACTGTATGGTATACTGTCACCCCGTCTGGTCCCTGAGATATGCTAGAGACTGTCAGGTGATAGAATACATCCAAAGGAGGGTCATCAGACTAGTGCCTGCACTATGACACTGTCATGGTTTTGGGTTTTCGGGGTGGTGTAAGAGTGGATTATATTATATAAAGATATGTTGTGTTTCTTATTTCTTACAGTAGAATTAGATACCTTCACACTAGTTACTTACAGGAGATTATGGCATATCTACGTAGAAGTTCACTCCACCACTCGACATTCCATGATTTATACTTGATAAATGATGATTTAATGAATTCCATTAATTTCCAACATCCATCTAAGTTATTGGTTATACTTTGTCATAACCAATCAGTCATTACCTTTAGTAATAATAAGATAGGATCACAGATACAGGCAGATAATTGCACTTACATTTATTTGTCAAGCTTCCATACAATGATTTACAATTTGCATGGATATATGATTCACTCATGTTCACGCTGTAAAAAAATTAATCTTCTAAAAGAGGGAATTTTCAACTTGGGGGGACATGTGGTTACTCTACTATGGGTATGACTTAACAGAGCCTTAATTCTTCAAGTGATACATTTACTGCCAGCCTGGATTGCTTTTGTTGCAACCAGGCTTCCGCACAAGACTTATTTCCACGGGCAATAACAACAAAAAACTACTCTTGGGTTACCACACACAGTCTCGCATCACTGACAGTCACTGTAGATGGTTGTCGCAGCCAGGAGAACAGGTAGGCGTGACTTGAATTAACCACTTAGGTGCAATAGGCCAGCCTGGATTGCTTTTGTCGCAACCAGGCTTCCACACATGATATTTCCATGGGGATAACAAACCTAGGTTAACACACTTAGTCTCGTGTCGATCACGGTCACTGTAGACGGGTGTCGTGCAGGAGAACTCTAAGCAGGAATTGATTAACCATTTACAGTAGGTTTGATAGGCCAGCCTGGATTGCTCTTGTTGCAACCAGGCATCCACACGTGATATTTCCACGGGGATAACAACCTAGGTTAAAACCCTTAGTCTCGAGTCGACGACGGTCCACAGGACAGGGTGGCGGTGGAGGACTCTTGTGTGGTGTCCCGTTCCCTTCAGGAGGGAGAGGATGGGGACATCTTGGCTAACCCATGGCCAATGGGATACTGCTTAAAATGAGGTTTTTGGGTGTGAAGCGATGAACAGTACAACACTGTCTCACTGGCCCCCCCTAAAGGCTGGCTAACATACACTAATGGAAAATATATGTCCCAGTTATGCCTCGCCGGGTGCCTTATCTCTAGTAAAACAAACTTTGGAGTTGGTTGCGTGGGTAAGCCTAATGCAACCCATGACAGACACCTCAGTTACCCTGAGGGATTAGAACATCTGGAATTGTCTAGCTTATACTACAGTCAGGTAAGGGGTGATTTAATAGAAGTCTGTGATGGCACTGAGTGTGAGCTCTTTCAAAACCAGACTTGACCAACACTGGAGCAGGTTCAAGTACATTCAGGAGCCAGTGCATGCCCAGTACTTGCCAACAGTGCATAACAGTGATGAGCCAATCAGTGGTGAAGAGGATAAAAGTAAAAGTAAGTGAAGTATAAACGCCTCAGATAACATTACTAATCAGTCGAGTGTCCATATCTGGAGTTGGCAGAAGCTGGCTACACTAGAGAGTTCACAACTCAAAGATGAAGAAGCTACAAGGTCGATAAATTGACATGGCAAACTTTTTCAGAGTGAGGGTTGTGAACACTTGGATCAATCTACCAGAGAGCCTTGTGACAGCACAAAGTGTGAGCTCATTCAAGATGAGAATTGACCAACACTGGCACAGGTACAGATACATCCTGGAACTAGTACAGGTACATGCCCAATACTGGCCAACAGTGCATAACAGATGTAACTGTTGTGGCTAACAAGTCAATCCGTGGTGAAAAGGATAAGGTTAAGTAAAGCATTACAGTATAGTACATTGTGCTTGGACTATCTGAGGGTGATAAATCACTTTAACAATAAAACATTCTGTACCAAGCAAAGGTTCCGACAGGTATCAGCTGAAAGGCATTTAACACTTTTATAGAAAAATTTTATCCCATTTTCTACAGGTAAAAATTGAAGTTTAGTAAAGTCATTGAGCACTTACATTTTGGCAGCCTGTTCACTTCTCTCAGCATCACAAATCAAAGTATTCAATGATGATAAGAAACTTTCTGGTAAGCATCTACTGAATTTTTTTTCATATAAATCAAGAAGTATCATCTTCAGATTCTCTACAGAAAGTGGCTGGTCCATTCTTGTCTGAAATTATATAAAACTTATTAGTTCCCTGAACCTTTAATTGCCAGGTATTAAATTTTTTCTTCTGCACAAACTACTGAAAATTACAACATTAACTTCAACTCAAGGCAAAGTCCCACACACCTGCTGGGAGACAGAAGAGAAATTCATAATACACTGTACTGTATTGTATTGTACTGTAATTGAAATATAAGTTGGAGCATGGCTTGAGGCCAATACTGTATGTGAAATTGGTAGTACAGTATTACACATACTGTATACTGTACTGTACTAATGAAAGTGAAATTATAAGATTACACATGAAGGCAAGCAAAAAATACTGTACAGTACATTAAAATTACTGTAGATGCCTTCATTGTTATGGTCTTAAGGGTACGGTGATGGAGAATTACAAGGTTTAGGAAGTACAGGTATTAAAACTTAAGGGTATATGAATGACAGAAGTAGAACTGTCACTTTTTGTGATCTTTTATTGTAGTACTGTACAGTATAGTCTCGATTTACGCGGATTTGGTTTATGCATTTGGTCATTTACGCGGTACCTTGCCAGACCGACAATTTTTATTTACACGGTTCATTCCATCATTTACGCGGGAAGCGGCGCGGGCAGGGTGCACACAAGATCGCCCAGTCAACAAAACATTACCAAGTTCTTCACCTGCCACAGCCGGCCCAAGTCAGTGATAGTGAAGATATGGACTTTGAGGGGTTTGACAGAGAGGCCCTGCAAGCCTCTGTGGTGGATAGTGATACAATTAATACAAGTAAAACAGGTGAGGGCCAATAATCTACCCTCTGCCTCGGAACCAACCCCCCATCCCCGTGTGCCCAGCCATCTTTTCTACTACCGTAAGTGTTAAAAAACCTAATATTATTGATATTTCTCTTAAATATTAATTGTGTGTGCATACCATCATAAAATTAAGATGTTATTTTTACTACAACGTAAGTATTGTGTTGGAAAAAGTGTAGTTTGGGGGTCGGCCCAGTCTCTATTTCAATTAATCCCATATGCTCTGTTATTTCATTTACGCGTTTCTCATTTTACGCGGACCTCCACGGGTTCAATTGACCACGTAAATGAAGACTATACTGTACATTATTCCATTTTATTCTCAAGTCTTTGACTCTGTAGTGTTTCAAGCAAGAGTGAATTCTTCAGAAAAACTGGTGCTTTTAAGAAACAAAAGGCCAGCTACTATTATTTTTACTGTAGCTAAACCACTTTCTTATTTTCAGCCACATTGTTTCCCAACACATTTCCTGTACAGTACCGTAGACCCTTGCCATTCATGAGTTTGCAATTCGCCATTTCGATGATTCGTGGTAAGCAGGCGATGGCCATGGTGGCTAGCTTGTAAGCCTTTTCCCATAGCACAGCATCTCGTGTTGTACGGTACTCTCAAAACTTTAATTGTTTCTGTATGAAATGGACTCTAAAAGACTGTCTAGTGCCAGTGCTAATGATGCTAGTGGAGTGAAATGAAAAAGGAAGAAATCAGTGATGACCCTGACAAAGAAAGTTTTATTATTAGATAAGTTAAGAGGGGATGAGTGCTGCCACGGCTGGTCAGTTGTTTGGCACGGGTATACAATAGTGCAGTGAGGTAGTATAAGATGCTATTTGTCGTTTTGCCAGTTTGTGCCATTTCTTGGAACCTATCCCTCGTGAGTGCAAGGGTCTACTATACTCTGTTCCAAAAGCCTGATCAAAAGGAGCCCTCATGTCCATTCACCTAAACTTGCATCACCCCAATTTCTGCCAAGTCAACCTACAGTACCAAGAGTTCAAGGCCTACAACACTAAAATAACAGGGTAGGCTTAACCTACTATTAGCATTACAAGTACAGGATAGTACATACTGTACCTGTACATAATTCATCTGCAATGATACACTGTATCCTCATTTTAACAAAACCATACAAGTACAGTATGCATAAATTCCAAACACATTAAATAGAAATGCTATATGAAAACATGTTTTACAAGTAACTCACTGTACTGTAGACACAAAGAGTACACTTTCTAATACAGTACCCTACTGTACATAGGCAAAACCTAGATCCCCTGAGATCTAACACAGTCCCAGAGTGGCTAATCGATTTAAAGTCCTGTAGGCAAAATAATATGGTTGTGCTCTGAAATTCAAGCTACAGGGATACTCTGAACATATGAAAGATTCTATAATAAAAATATTCCTAAATTTATTGTTTCTTTGGGAGAATAAACGGAAGTGTTCACGTCTATGAGATTTTCCTGCTCGTGTAAAAAGCTGAAGTGTAAAGAAAGATGGTCTCATCAGGTAGCAGATGGAAAAACCCTGGGAAATAACAAAATACTCTATAAAAATTGCCGTTTCTCCACTTAATTTGGTTTATTCTTGAAGTAAAAAGTTTTCTTCTACAGGGTATCGATATTTTTCATTAAGTACCGGTAGGTGATTAATGCAAACCCGTCAAGTGATACAGGTTTTACTCTACCCTCACAGAAGAAGAGTTGCTGCAAATACCCCAAATCAAATGTAAGGGTCAGAAAAGTTAAGTAATCTTGCATTCAACGGGCATAAAATCATGAGCGCTGTTGTTGATAATCCGCAAGACTGGGAACTTTCTGAAGTACATTATCAGGTACCGCTACATTATATAATTTATTGTTCATGAAATAAACCACTAGATATTATTGCATTTATTGCCACCAACCGAATCTCAGTTAGGAAGCTAGGTAAGGTTAGGTGTGTTAGGTTGGTTCGGTAAATGTTACTTTTAGTACTATCATCTTCTAATGACTCAAAAATATATATTTCCTATGTATTTAGCTGTTTTTTGAACGAATTTGACCTTCAAAACTGTCACAAATAATTTTTTTTTAGTTATGACCCCCCGAGTGCGAGCTCTTTCAAGACAAGACTTGACCAACACTGGAGCGGGTTCAGGTACATTCAGGAGCCGGTGCATGCCCAGTATTTGCCAACAGTGCGTGACAGAGACGTGACCGATCGCCCGGGCGGCTAGCGAGCCGATCTTTTGGTGAAGAAGATAAATGAAAAGGAAAAGTAATCAGAGATGTGACCGATCGCCCAAGCAGCTAACGAGCCGATCAGTGGCGAAGAGGATAAAAAAAAAAAAAACAATAATGAGGGCCCCCCCCCTGGTAATTGGGGGTTTTGGGTGGGGGAAACTCAAAAACAAGTGATTTGCGCCAGTTTAGAAGCTCAAATTCATTCAAAACACATAGAGAAAACATATTTTTCATCACTAAAATATGCATCCTAACCTAACCGGTAAATGTTATTTTTAGTCCTATAATCTTCTAGCGACTCAAAAATATATTTTTGCCTATGTATTGAATGAATTTGACCTTCAAAACTCGTAGGTGGAGCTGTCCGACACATGCACAACTAGATTTCTGAAGATGACCGGTTCACCCAATAATGGCGATATATCAAGGTTAATTTCCTAACCAAAACTTTCGAGAGCCATATCTTCTTTATTATGCATTTGTGACGGATTTATCATAGGAAAAAATTGTCTCAGAATTTTCTGTAGATTTCACATGCTGCCAGATTTATAGTAAAGAATTATAAGACTAAAGTTAACAAATACCATTACTGTAGTTCTATCAACCTCATACTTTTATATCCTTTCCTCACAAACCTGGCTCGTAAGCCCTGCCCCTCGTCTATATCTACACATAGCTGATTGGTTCCCCTGAACGATTTACCTCCCCACCAGACTGCGCGTGTATAAGCGCATATTTATTGCGACCATTTATGATAAATATTTTAAATTTTCTCACATCCTCTCTGAAGTGCTAATGCCTTGAAATCATTTGCATTTTGATAATTCAGATATTTAACATTATTTTAGATAATAACAGGTCTGCTTACCAATTGTGAACACATTTTGAATTTTCTATGAACTGATCAGCTATTAGTATAGAAGAGGGGTGTGGCTTATGGGCCAGGTTAGTGTGGAAGTGCTATAATTAAGTTATCCTAACCAACCAATCCTACCTAACCTGGCCTAACTTAACCTAAATATCTTATAGACTACACGCTACAAAAGCAACAAATTAAATATCTCGGTTCTAGGTCGTATAGTTAGTTTCGGTGGTAGACCTAAAACAAAACTTCATCCATTGTAATTGTATGCCTGGAATGCCTATGTAACGTACTCATGTTGTATACCTGCACCATTTATACTGAACAGCTGAACTGTATATCTGCACTGTCAATGTACAGTACCTACCGAATCAAAGTGAACTTATATAGCCATTTTCCTGAGCAATAAAACTGCCCGAACAGCTTTTAAGATAAGTGGTGAATTGATATATTAAATAAATACAATAAATACTTTTAGGTTATTGCATGAAACCAAACGTTTCGCCATTAAAATCGCGCACCCAATAGAAAAACCGCAAGAATTAGTTATTCCCATGATTTTGATAAATATCGTCAATATGCATTCCATTGACATGTGTAAACACTCAAAATTATGTGAAATTCGCAAGGTTACAGCAGATATAACTCGTCAAGTATTTAAAAAAAAAAAAAAATAATAATAATAAAACGGTCCGACTTATTACCTAAATGTACCCAAATGTAGCAAAATGTAGCCGCAATGAAGTCAAATAATGGTCCTACATGAATAAATCGGACTGCCAATCACTTCTCGATTATTATTTGGTGTCACAAAGTCACAAAAAATTGGTAAACTTAATTTAATCTGAGTTGTGTTGTGTTAGGTTGTGTTAGGTTAGGTTAGGTACATGCACTTGATCTATTAACTCAGATTAAATTAAGTTTACCAATTTTTTGTGACTTCGTGACACCAAATACCAGTCGAGAAGTGATTGGCAGTCCGATTTATTCATGTAGGACCATCATTTGACTTCATTGCGGCTACATTTGGGTAATTAGTCGGACCGCTTTCCGCTTTCTGGTAGATTGTTCCAAAGGAGAAATCCACTACAAGTTCACAACCCTCACTCCGAAAAAGTTTGCCCTTACAGTTTCCTGGACTTGTGGCTTCTTCAATCTTGAGCTGTGACCCATTTAAATGATTTGAAATAAAAGTTATGGTAAATATCGCAATTGGTAACTATCTATAAACACAAATATAATTTTACCTGTTATACACTGTTGGCAAGTTCTTACTTTTATCCTCTTCGCCTCTGATCGGTCACGTCTCTACACACTGTTGGCAGAAACTGGACATGCACAGATGCACACTGCACAGTACACTGACTCCTGAATGTATCTGAACTGCTCCAGTGTTGGTCTTCAAGGAGCTTACACTCGGTGCTGTCACAACACTTTCTGGCAGGTTGTTCGGAGATTTCAAATTTCTCACTCCGAAAAAGTTTACCCTCACAGTTTTTTTTGACTTTTGGCTTCTTCAACCTTGTGCTGTGACTCCTTGTGTATTGCGAACAATAAATAAAGTATACAATGAACACGCCTTCCTAAAAAAAAAAGCGTAACTTTCCGCTTTTTGGCGTTTTTCACACCAAAATTTGTGATTTTGCCACAAGATGTTCTGTAGTACAAATAGCGCTTCGGCGTATGTGATATTTAATCTTATTCAGTCTAAATAATTAGACTTTGGTTCAGAGCTGTTGTACTGTAGTTCTTAACCGCGACATTTCTACACTGAAGCGGTCTGCGGACTCGGAAGGTTACTGTGTACAGTTGATACGTTTGACTGACACACATCCGCTCATACGTACTGGTACAGGATTCCACCAGGGGCGGATCCATGGGGGAAGGGGGGGGGGACCCCTCCTTTTCATCAGAAAATTTCAATACATTTTCTTGAATGCAGTATTGTACTCAGGTGTTTTTGTATAGTAGAAAGTAATTACTATTAACTTCAGAATATCTCCTAATATTTAGTGCACATGGCTAGGAATGGCCTCAAAATGTCCATAATATTAGTTTGATTAAAAAAATCAGGGGCTTACAACCCCCCCCCCCCCTTTTTATTTCTGGATCCGACCCTGAGTAGGCTGTGTCTGCTACTTCGCAATTGCCTTTGTATTACTTTATTTATTTTTTAGTTATTAATTATGTTACCATGAAATTTCCTATTGCATCCAGACTTCCTTATGGTATTTATCTTGTTTATTAGAAACAATATAAATTAATGTGTTGCTTTTGAACTAATTTTGAAACGTTCCTTTTCTGCTTTATTTGGGAAACCTTTGTCACCTATAATCTATAAGTGTTGTACAGGAACTTTGAACAAATTTGGCAAACTCCATAACACCAATGTTTAATATTGAATTTGTTGATTATTTATGAATTTCACAATATTGTAGCCCCATTTTTTTCTTTATATATCACAAACGTCTACATGAATTATGTTGGTTGACTCAGTGGCAGAGGTCCGTTCATTATGCGTGACGTCTGGGCTGCTATTTTAAGCTCCGGGTAGTAATACGTATAGTATGAATGATAAGGGACGTAAACATCAAATGATGACATATTTCAGTACGTTCATTGCCGGAAAAGAAAACAGTGACCTGTGCGTCACGTACTGGAGGGAGGGAGGATCACGAATGGTAAATATTTATAAGCTGCTGTAGTGGATTTCTCCCCTACAAACGCTGTTTGTCGCTGAGTAGCCGACCCCGCGAATTCCCCAGTGTATGCCTCGTGGTCTGGGTCAACCAGCGCCGTCATACATCACGGGGGTCAACAACTAAGCCACGCCTACCCCCGCTATTTAAGACCTCTCTTCTAGCTTCTGCTGCAGCAAGCTACACCTCCTCCTCCGCTGCTGCCTGGCGGCCCTCGCTCCCGCCGGCGAGCATGGTGACCCACAAGCTGTCCTCCTCTGAGCATCCTCACCAACCAGCTCTCTCTACATCACGCTTGTAACCACGCTGCCACTTCCCAGCACCAAGCTGCATTGTACATCCAATATAACATGTATACAGAGAGCACATTGTGAGTTTCCTTTCTCCATCCCATCCTGAGTGTGAATCCAAACATAACATACCCCACACTGCCAACACTTACTTATACACGAATTGAGTCATATAGAGAGAAAGAACAAAAATAAAATAATTTAATATTTAGGGTTTTCGTCAGAAATGCAATTTTTTTTTAGTAGTTTAGCCGATTTAATTACCAACAGTTTTACTTATTCAAAGTGTACAGGGCTTTGAAGTGGGGGAGAAAATGTGTGGTAAATACTAAAAAAAAAAACACTAAACAAATTTAACCGAAACTCAACTTAACTTAAACCTAATGAGGTAAGGATAGCAAGGGAGGCGAGGACAAACCCCGAAGGATTCTACCAAATGTATCAAACTAAAACACGAGAAAAGATTGGACCAATACGGTCAGATACCGGCGAACTCGCTGATAACGACGGAGAAATGAGCAATAATTTGAATAAATATTTTTCAACAGTTTTCAGCACCGAAAATTTAAACATGATACCCGAGGCACCGACTCTATTCAGAGATAGTGAAGAAAACAAATTAAGCGAGATAGTAGTGACTAGTAACGATGTTAGTAAGCAAATAGACAAACTAAAGACTAATAAGTCACCTGGTCCCGATGAGATATTTGCCAGAGTATTAAAGGAATGTAAGGAAGAGCTTAGTATGCCCTTAGCTAAGTTGTTTAACATGTCCTTAAAAACAGGTGTAGTACCAGAATCCTGGAGGATAGCGAATGTAATACCGATTTTCAAGAAGGGGGATAGATCACTATCCTCTAACTATCGCCCAATCAGTCTAACATCAATAGTAGGCAAATTACTGGAAGCAATCATTTCAAACTCTATTCGAAATCACCTGGAGAAGCACCGATTGATCAATGATTCCCAGCATGGCTTCACAAGCGGACGTTCTTGTCTAACTAATCTATTAACATTCTTTTCATCAGTTTTCGAATCTGTGGACGAGGGGCACAATTATGATGTGGTATATCTCCACTTAAGCAAAGCCTTCGACAGAGTCCCCCACGAAAGACTAATTAGAAAGGTAGAAGCTCATGGCATCAAAGGTAACATCTTTAAATGGATTAGGGCGTGGTTACAGGACAGGAAACAGGGAGTGAGCATTAACGGCACTAAGTCCCATTGGAGCAACGTCACAAGTGGAGTTCCCCAAGGCTCAGTACTTGGACCATTATTATTTATTATATACATAAACGACATAGATATCGGCATAGACAGCAACATAAGTAAATTTGCTGATGACACTAAAATAGGACGTGTAATTAAATCTGACGAGGACTCCCAAAACTACAGGAAGATCTAAACAAATTTTTCGAATGGTCTGAAAAATGGCAGATGAAATTCAACGTGGACAAATGTAAAGTACTCAGTATAGGAGATGTAAACAGGGAAACCAGATACCAGATGAACAACGATGCCATAGAGAAATCCGACTGCGAGAGAGATTTAGGAGTAATGATAAGTAGGAATCTTAAGCCAAGTAAACAATGTGTTTTTGCTCGTAACAAGGCTAATAAAGTACTTGGGTTCATGCAAAGGAGTGTTAGTTACAAGACTAACGAGGTCATCTTAAAATTATATCTAGCACTTGTGAGACTGCACCTGGATGACCCAGTTCAGTTCTCGTCACCGTATTACAGAATGGATATAGAATCATTGGAAAGAATCCAGAGGAGAATGACAAGACTAATCCCGGGCATTAGGAACCTTGAGTACAGAGACAGGTTAAAGCATCTTAATTTGCACTCCCTCGAGAGACGTAGAGCGAGGGGCGACATGATAGAGGTGTATAAATGGAAGTCAGGGCTGAACAAAGGGGAGATTACAAAGGTACTCAAACTATCCAACCAGGAGAGAACTCGTAACAATAGTTTTAAATTAGACAAATTTAGATTTCGGCGTGAAGCAGGTAAACACTGGTTTGGAAACAGAGTAGTGGATGAATGGAATAAGTTACCAAATATCATCATTAACTCGAATACGCTAGATAGCTTCAAACATAGGTTGGATGCTTATATGAGTAATAGGGGTTGGGTATAAACGGGACAGCCCAGTATGGGTCAATAGGCCCGCTGCAGTTTCCTCCATTCTTATGTTCTTATGTTCTTAGATGTATAAATGGAAGTCAGGGCTGAGCAAAGGGGACATTACAAAGGTACTCAAACTATCCAACCAGGAGCGAAATCGTAATAATGGTTTTAAATTAGACAAATTTAGATTTAGGCGAAATAGGTAAACATTGGTTTGGAAACAGAGTAGTGGATGAATGGAACAAGTTACCAAATATCATCATTAACTCGAATACGCTGGATAGCTTCAAACATAGGTTGGATGGATATATGAGCCATAGGGGTTGGGTGTAAATGGGACTGCCCAGTATGGGCCAATAGGCCCGCTGTAGTGTCCGCCATTCTTATGTTCTTATGTTCTTACGTAAGTCATGGGTTGAGGCCACTTGAGTGTTTAGGTAGCCATTTTGCATTATGCCCATTTGTTGTTGTTTGTGTATTCAATGTTATAATATTTATTTTAGTTCATATTTAATTACCTATTGTACTCCCATAGTCTTACCTTCTCCCATTAAAAGCCTTGCCTCAACCTTGTGTAATAGAATATGTAAGCTTGTAAATTTAATAAAGTTCATCTGGCTCGTGCTGATGGGAGAACCTTAAAGGGCTGTCAGCCTGACCTGACCCAGGCTGTCTCCTTTGTCCTTGAAGTCTTTCTCCAAATTCTTCCCAGAGATGTCTGCCTCTGACTCTCTCCTCTTTCCGAGCCACTATGTGGTTTAGGTTTGTCCTTTCCCGTCCTTGGGAATGTTAGGTGGGAATCAGTGGTGTTTATGCTGCACTCCCAATTAGGTAGGAAGTGCCTTTATATTATGTCTGGTACCTATTAAGTTTTAATTGTAAATATATGTAAATAAGGTATATCTACCTAGGTGTTTCTGTCGGTCCTTTTCGCCCAGGATATTATTCTTCAGCCATGACTGAGTGTTTGGAAACACCTGAAGAATAACTCATGGAGTCTTCCCTACTTAAAACTAGCCATAGCAGTATATCACTGTTGTCCAGCTCTATGTCTTTTGAGGTAAGCTTGGGCGAGACAATGGGTTGTGATACAAATACGAGGGGAAAACCGATTTCTTTCCTGAAAATCATTGACAAAAGGGATAAAAGTATGTACACAGCAGGGGCGGATCCAGGAATATCAAAAGGGGGGGTCCAAAAAGTTTTGGGTGGGGGAATATGGCCAGCAAAGCGAGCCCACCCAATATCACAGGCATTTCGAGGCCATTTTAAAGCCACGTGCACATGATATGAGGAGATATTCTGAGGTCAATAGTAATTATTTTTTACTATACAAAAATGCCTGAGTACAATACTGCATTACAGGAAAAGTATTGGAATTTTCTGATGGAAAGGGGGATCCGAACCCCCAGGATCCCCCTGGATCCGCCTTAGCACTGAAAACACTTATGTCAAGGGAAAATGAATATGAACACTCCATTGAAAACAAAAGTATGACCCACGGTAAGGACTCTGACTACGCCCTTGATGTGTAGTATGTGTATCCATGCAGGTGAATGTGTATTTCGTCATTTTTATAACTTATTAAGAAATAACGCCATAAAAATGTTAACTGACAATGAGTTATTCATTTGTCAGCTAAACTCTTACCCAACAACACCAAACAATTCCTTAAATGTAATCTATCCTAGCTGAAGCATATTTAGGTAAAAATGCGTGATGCAAATGTTT